CTTCCGATCCGATTCCGATACCTGAATTTGGATATCGGCCGATACCGATACTTTTCCGATACCAGAGCTGTGTTTGCTTTAATATTATTATTATCATTATTGTTGATTTTATATGATGCTGAAATAAACTCCTCTCTACAGGCAAGTATGATATGTACGTATGTATGCATGTATGTCAATATATATATATACACTCACCGGCCACTTTATTAGGTACCCCATGCTAGTAACGGGTTGGACCCCCTTTTGCCTTCAGAACTGCCTCAATTCTTCGTGGCATAGATTCAACAAGGTGCTGGAAGCATTCCTCAGGGAGTTTGGTCCATATTGACATGATGGCATCACACAGTTGCCGCAGATTTGTCGGCTGCACATCCATGATGCGAATCTCCCGTTCCACCACATCCCAAAGATGTTCTATTGGGTTGAGATCTGGTGACTGTGGAGGCCATTTTAGTACAGTGAACTCATTGTCATGTTCAAGAAACCAATTTGAAATGATTAGAGCTTTGTGACATGGTGGAAGTAGCCATCAGAGGATGGGTACATGGTGGCCATAAAGGGATGGACATGGTCAGAAACAATGCTCAGGTAGGCCGTGGCATTTAAACGATGCCCAATTGGCACTAAGGGGCCTAAAGTGTGCCAGGAAAACATCCCCCACACCATTACACCACCACCACCAGCCTGCACAGTGGTAACAAGGCATGATGGTTCCATGTTCTCATTCTGTTTACGCCAAATTCTGACTCTACCATCTGAATGTCTCAACAGAAATCGAGACTCATCAGACCAGGCAACATTTTTCCAGTCTTCAACTGTTCAATTTTGGTGAGCTCTTGCAAATTGTAGCCTCTTTTTCCTATTTGTAGTGGAGATGAGTGGTACCCGGTGGAGTCTTCTGCTGTTGTAGCCCATCCGCCTCAAGGTTGTGCGTGTTGTGGCTTCACAAATGCTTTGCTGCATACCTCGGTTGTAACGAGTGGTTATTTCAGTCACTGTTGCCCTTCTATCAGCTCGAACCAGTCTGGCCATTCTCCTCTGACCTCTGGCATCAACAAGGCATTTCCGCCCACAGAACTGCCGCTCACTGGATGTTTTTTCTTTTTCGGACCATTCTCTGTAAACCCTAGAGATGGTTGTGCGTGAAAATCCCAGTAGATTAGCAGTTTCTGAAATACTCAGACCAGCCCTTCTGGCACCAACAATCATGCCACGTTCAAAGTCACTCAAATCAACTTTCTTCCCCATACTGATGCTCGGTTTGAACTGCAGGAGATTGTCTTGACCATGTCTACATGCCTAAATGCACTGAGTTGCCGCCATGTAATTGGCTGCTTAGAAATTAAGTGTTAACGAGCAGTTGGACAGGTGTACCTAATAAAGTGGCCGGTGAGTGTATATATATATATATATATATATATTAAACAATAGATAAACAAAAGATAGACAATTAAACAAAGATACACATTATACAGGCCTACACAGTGCTTTAATTTCAGGAAGGTCTACTAACATTATTCAGGTATGGTCTAAAAATAATTATAATAAAGTAATCAAAAGTAAAATAGCACTGCAAAGTTTATCATAGATAGATTTATGCTTATTAAAGCTAAAGTTATTCATTCAAGAGCTGTGAGTGATTTTCTCTTTGCCTTTTGTTGTTTGATTCTCAGTAATGGAGCAATCGTCAGCATGTTTATTAGACTGCTTCCCCTTTAAGAACGAGTGCACCATATTTTCTCCCAACTATTTCCATAACTACGTCCATTTTAGACAAACTGTTTAAGTGAATCTCCAAGCCGGTCATTTTGACATTTTTGTGTAGGCTACATTTGATCGTTTAGACGTGCATATGAAACCCAGAGTATAATGTGCTTGTCTCGTTGCGGTCTGTTTCGGAGCGCGCGGCGCGGGAACAGCTTCTCTTGCGCAGATTTTTGTGCTTTTAATAGCTTTTTTTATTATTAAAAGCGTCCCGCAATTTAGCAACAGTAGAGACTGCATTTTACAACAATCACCGATCATGCTGATGGGCTGTCGTGTTGTGCGCGCTGTGGCACCGCGTGAGAGATCTCTCTCTTTCTCTTCTGGACTGCGAATAGCAAACATGCATCACAGACAAATGGTTTAATTAATACGGCTTTGCAAACATTGCATTTTGCTGTCTTGCTCTGCTGTGGTGTTTCCAGTGTGAAGTATTTCCACCATAGGATTTCCACACAGCGAACATGTTGGCAGCTCAATGCTATCCTGCTAGCTGGCTGCAAACTGCGGAATGGATTTCCTGAGGGGGGGTCTCTGTCTCATTGAGCCGCACCTTCGTTCAGGATATCCATTCCACAGTTTGCAGCCAGCTAGCAGACTAGCCGGCGGGCCGCGGGAATCACTTTTGGAGTCGTTTCAGCAGACTACGTTAAAGCGCAGACATGGCTCATGGATATCGGATATCTCCGCAGGTTGGATCGGGAAAATCCGATACGTGAATTACGCTGTTATCGGTGGTCCCGATACCGATACTGGATCGGATTGGCCCCATCCCTATCAGAAAGTCTTTAATGATCCACACGAGTCAACTCAAATACAGGCAGGCAAACAAATACAACAAGACCGGACAAAGAACACTGAAAACTCAGGAATTTACTGGTGATGATAAGGATTAACTAAGATTAATAAATCCTGTTGAAATTATTGTTCGTTCATTGTTAGTTCATGTTAACTAATGCTGACAAAATGAAACCTTATTGTAAAATGTTACACCTTTTTTTTGTTTGGGACATGGCTTTTAATGGTGAGCCTTTTGATTTTGTAATCAGGCTCTCAAAGTATATCAAAATTTGGATTTAGGGTGCTTTCACACCTAGATCGATTTGTTTTGTTCCGGAACAGATCCGAAACAGAATACTTTGTTCCGAATCAATTTAATAGTCACTCTGTTCACACCACACTGTTGTAAAGCGGTCCAAATCGCGCACCCTTCCAGGGCTTTCCTTACGCCATTACGTCACTACCTCATGCGTGCAGGTCGCGCATTCCATTGTGGGACATCGCCATGACAACAATAGCCTAACACAAAACGAATCGCGGGTTGACTTGGTGCTACGAATAGGTGAAATGCCTCATAGATATTTGGTCGGAAGAACACATCTCCCGGATGTTGGACACTACACACAAGAACACCGAAGTGTACAAGAAGATCAGCTATAAAATGAAAGAGAGGGGCTATGAACGGTCCTTCGAGCAGTGCCGCGCAAAGGCGAAAAAACTCCGACAGCAGTACATAAAGGTATGAGACCACCTTGCCAAAAGTTGATTTGTTCCGGTTCGTGGGTCGGTTGTGTTCTCACTACAAACGAACCGCTCCAGGGTTCGTATGGAATCGAGCCGAGACCACCTCTTCTAGGCGGTCTCGGCTCGGTTGTTTTGTTCCGATTCAGAGTGCGATTGTTGTGTTCACATATGACCAAACGAACCGGGCCAAAAGGGAAACGCCCCTTTGTTTCGGAACAACGTCTCCAATCGATCCAGGTGTGAAAGCACCCTTAGATTTATCGGCCGATATATCGGTTATCAAATTTTCATATCGGTGCATTCCTAAAACTTATTTCAAAGTTTGTGTTCTTAGGCCATCAAAACACCGGTGTTGTGTAAATGAACGGTCAGAATGCATAAAAAGCTTTCTGTTTTCAGTTGAAAACGATGTTGTGTAAACAGCCCCTAAATTAATAATTAATAATTTTTACAACAGAAATGAATCAATGCTGAACTTCCTTAAAAAGGACAATGACTTGCTTCTAGATCTGCTGTACAGACAAAACAATCTTTGTTACATTAATTTCCTGTTATCACTGTAAAGCTGCTTTGAAACAATCTGTATTCTAAAAAGCACTTTATAAATAAAGGTGACTTGACATCAACCCGATAACTTTATTTGGCATTCATGTAAACACTACATTCGGATTCATCAATCGGAATGATTTCATTGCGATTGAAACAAAAGTGTCCATGTAAACGTAGCTTTTGGCCAGTTCATTCCGATTGACGTGGTTGCATGTGACTTTTTTATTCAGACAGTGCTAGTAGTCGGATTATAATCGGATTATTAGGGTCCATGCAAGCACAGTTGGCGCACCTGCGTACACTGACATAAGCATTTCAATATGAATTCTGTAACTTCATTTCTAAGTCATGTCACTAATCATGTATGTAAGTAATTGCAGCGCTGTAAAACAATGTATGTCATTGCAGTGGTGTTAAAGGCTACTAAATAATAGGAATTAGAAAATAGAAATAGAATATATAAATAGAAAAACTTGGAATGCTGCTCAGGCAATTTAATTTGATGACCAAAAAAACTTTTGTAAAGCTTTTTATGTAAACTTCACAATAACTGATTTTGACAGTGTTTTTTTTTAATCGTTGTAATACTGAAATAAATTGACCCTAAGCAAAATACAGAATCAATGAACTATCTAGTCACAACAAATATGTTGTGACGTCAAACGCAGGTGGTGTAATAGCATCTGTTAATTAATCAGTTCAAGAAAGCAATTAATGTCAAATTAATATAGTTAATTTGCACGAACAACAGAAATACATTTTTGATCATGTTTATCATGTTACACTTTTACACCTGTATATGCAGTTAATTTAGTCAGCAGCTTTTTTCACAACGTAATTTCTCTGTAATGAACATAGCTTTTTAGGTCTAGTTCACCATCACAGGTCGGGAGCTATAGTTCCAACCACACAAGTTTTCCACACATTGTTCGTTGAAAACCAGGTTTCAGGAAATGCCAAATCATTGAACTATGGTACAGGGGAAAATTGCAATCATATTTAGGCTAATAATGCTGTTGGGAAATGCATTAAGGATTGGTTGGATTTGTTACATTAATGCAAGAATAAAATGAGCAAACCTTTAATGCCCCTTGGAGTCGATTAGTTATAGGGATTCTCTAAAATACTTTGTGTCCTTTTTATTCTTGAAAATATTTTAGACTGACCTGACTGACAAGCTCAACATCCTTGAAGACAAAACTGACAAGAATCAGCAGGTTATCACACAGATGAAGGAGCAACAAACCAAATTAAAAGTTAGTAAATGTTCATTTTTATTTGGGTATTAGCAGAATCAGACAGATTGATTCTGATGTAAGATGATAGGATTCAAGATGTGCATGTCCCTTTACCTGCCTTCATGAATTACACTCCATCCATGCATCTCAAAATGTCAGGAGCTCCATAAGATGGAGTTTTAGACTTTGGGCTTACCTTTTCTTTGGTGTTGCTTTCCCAGGAATTAGCTACAACCCGCAAACGTATTCTTGAGGTAGAATACAGGCAGATCAGAGAAGCGATCGACCGTGATGAGAAAGAGGCAATGTTTGCTATTGATAAGGAACAGGAGAAAGGTCAGAGCAAACTGGTCTCCTTGATGAAGAAATTTAATGAGAACATCGAGAAGATGAATAGGACCAAATCTGAGATCAACATACTGTTGGACCAGTCGCAATCCCTCACATTCTTAAAGGTGATCCATAGTATGATTTTAAATGAAAACTTGTCTGCTTTATAACTCTTATTTGTACCTTAGATATACATTTGCAATCGAAATTATTCAACCCCTGCAAATCAGTTTTATTGGCAAAATTGTACAGACTTTCAGCTGTTTGCAATGAACAAATCAAACAAAAGTAATTGAAATAGCTCAACACAACAAATGCTTGGTTTCCAAATTCAACTGAAAATGCAACTTCAGGGAACTACACTAACATTTTCCACTGGTGGCACTTGCGCTACTAACTTTTTCAGTTACTAGCGCAAAACATGATTTGGTCGCACAAATTATTTATATAGTAAGCCGCTCTGGATAATAATGACCAATAGTGAAACTGTATTGCATACAGATGTGCTTTTTATTTTACTCTCCATCTTTTAAAACACATGCCTTCTTGTTTTCTTTAAAAATGGTTGGGATAGATTTACTGCAATAGAAAATACAGTAGCCTACACAATAAAGTGCTAAATTAATTTCTTTTGGATTTCACCATGCTATGGTTGGCACAGATGGGCAGACTTCTGAACTCTTAAGGAAAAGTAAAATAAATATAATATGTCATTGTGAAGCTTCAATGATTCGTGTTTGAATTGTTTTGACGCAGTTACAAATTTGGACAGTCCTGCAATTGAAGGTCCACAGAATTTACAGTAGGGCTGCACGATATTGGTAAAAAAAATGACATTGCGATATTTGATTTTTCTGCGATATATATTGCGATATAAAAACAATTTCACCAGATGACTTGAATAGCTCTACTTGGAAAGAATGAATCATTCTAGAATGACTCTTGAGTTCAGTGTTGGACAGATCAGTTGTTATTTTAACCATTCATTAAAGTGAATCGGTTCAAAGGAGTCAGTTCGCGAATCGGACGTGTCATTAACGGACCACGGCACACGTTGTGTGATTATCCAGGCAGTTTAGGACATCGCACAAGATTTGTCTCAACACAGAAAACATTTCATCACCAGATAGATTTTTTGTTTTGTTTATTGAAAGAGTGGTTTATGCCATCTGAATGTGTGGAAAGCTTTTCAGAGAAGATGAGGCAACGTTATTTTAGCACAATTCACAACCAGTGGTAGTTCAGAAAAAAAAAAACTTCGGTCTTCCGACCTTTTACCATCGTGTATTCTCAAAGATATTCAGTCAACTCAATTCATTATTATGAGCGAGGGAGGGAGAGAGAGCGCGCGCGCGACTGGGGCTTTCACTCTCTCTGCTCGTTCTCTCAGTTAAACAAGCGCGAATCCGCGAAGCCAACTTGATGTGTTGAATGCTCAGAGCGCGTTATAAAACGTAGGCCTATTCTTAAAATACACATTTCTGTTTTAATAAATGCTCATAGTAAATCATAGCATATTGCCTAAAACATTAGGTAGGTACAAAAATAATCAAACGGTGATACATTTGCGACCCATTAAAAATTAGGGTCGCAATGGCATTTCAAAAGGTCGCATATGCGACCATTTTGGTCGCAGTGTAGTTCCCTGAACTTTTAATAACTTCAGCAATCTCAAAATTATTCAACCTCTTCATGGCAAGCATCTTTAGTACTTAGTAGAACACCCTTTTGCTGTTATGACCTGCTGCAAATGAGATGTATAACCAGACACTAGCTTCTGGCAGCATTTCTGAGGAATCTTAGCCTATTCCTCATGAGCAATGGCCTCCAGTTCAGTAATATTCTTGGGTTTGCGTGCTACAACTGCCTTCTTCAAATCCCACCAGAGATTTTATATGGAGTTCAAGTCAGTGATGGCCACTGTAGAATCTTCCAGGACTTCTTCTGCAACCAAGCCTTGGTGGAATTTGAGGTGTGCTTGGGATCATTGTCCTGTTGGAAGGTCCATAGATGCCCAAGCTTTAGCTTCCTCACTGACGGCATGGCGTTTTCTCCTAGGATTTCCTGATACTTCAATGAATCCATCTTGCTTTCCACACTCTGCAGGTTTCCAGTGCCAGAGGATGCAAAGCAGCCCCAGAGCATCACCGAGCCATCACCATGCTTAACTGTAGGCAGAGTGTTCTTTTCAGCATATGCTTCATTCCTCTTTTTCTAGACATACCACTGATCCATAGGGCTGAAAGGTTCCGGTTTCTGTTTCATCGCTTCACAGAATCTCAAAACTTCTATGGCTTATTTATATGATTTTGAGAAAGTTGGAGCTGACTTTTGTTGTGCTTTTGGTGTACGTCTTGGAGTTCTGAAATGGAAACCACATGCGTTTAGTACGCGCCTTACTGTGCAAGCTGAAACCTCAGTGCCTGTTGCAACTAAGTGTTGCTGCAGGTCTTTTGCAGTCACTTGAGGGTTTTTCTGAACCTGCCTTCTCAGAAATCTGGTTGCAGCAGTTGATCCTTTTTCTGCCCCGGAACTTCCAGGTTAGTGTAATCACTGTTCCTTGTAACTTTGAACTCGCAAACTATGCTTCTAACGGTGTCTCCAGGAACATACATATTTTTACATGCAGTCAAACGTGACACTCAACAAACCTAGCCTGTTCAGATATTTAATGTGTTCTAGTTTAAGCACAGTTATTGCAACTAATGAAGCCCTTGATTAGTTGCATCAGCTGTGCTTGAGACAACCCCTGTTTTGCAGATTTGTGTTGTTGTGATGGATTCAATTCACGGGGTTGAATCATTTTGAGACTGCAGAAGTCATTAAAAGTTGCATTTTCAGTTGAATTTGGGGAAAACACTTGAAATGTTTGTTGTGTTGAGCTATTTCAATTATTTTTGTTTGATTTGTTCATCGCAAACCGCTGAAAGTAAAACATTGTTTCCAATAAACCTGATTTGCAATGGGGATTTAATCATTTCAATTACAACTGTATATAATCAAATTTTGGGTGGTGGGGCATATGTGTGAAGCCCAGTGTAAGACCCTACTTGTTAATTCAAGAAAATTAAGCATGAGCTCTCACACTTGATCAGTTTTATACCTAACCTGAATGTTGTTCGATGCCGCTTGTATATTTGGATTCTTGAATTTTCCATTCTCTGTCACAGGCCTCTGTGGATTTGCCCTCAGTGGTAAATTTTGAGCCCTATAACCCTCGCATGACTGTGGAAAGTAAAGAGGTGATAGCTTACCATTCCTCTGCAGTTGCACTGAAGGAATGGATCACCAAATTAATGGAGCAGCCAACAGAGAACAGAATCTTTGTACTTAAACCAGGTGTGTTAGTGTGGGAGCTTGTATAAAATGTGCAGCTTGTTTTAATGTCTGCAGTAAGTTCAAGAATACAGCAACATCATAGTGCATGCTTAGAGTTCTGACATACATATTTTTACAGAGTTTGAAAAATCTGTTCTTGGTTCAGGTGAGATTGTCTTTTGAAATGATTGGTGTGGAAATCTGGGACATAATCACATAAAAACATGTTTATACAAATTATTATGTTGCCTGATTGTATGTTGTTGAGGTTATCCTTAGTAAAGCTGCTGGCAGAAGATGTGAACTAGTCCTCTAATCCTCTAGGTCTAGGAAACCAATTCCCTCCACTCCTGCAAAATCCACTCCTGCCACATCCAAGAGAGTATCCAAGAGATCTTGCTGTGAGCCAAGAGATGTGTAAGTTGTTACTCCTTTACAAGTGAATGGGCTGTTTTTCCTGATTCAGTACATCCATCCATCACTATTCTTTCATTATTCTCTTGATATATTTCAGCACGTATGAGTTCTCCCAGCCCAGCCTGCACTCCCAAAACCAAGGCTCTAGGAGCTAAACAGAAAAGTAAGTCAAGTGCATATATATATATATATATATATATATATATATATACACATATATATAGTATATATATATTTACACCTTTCTCTCATTGTTCCTTTTTCCTAATAGACAAGATTCCTAATAAAGAGCTTAAAGATCACAAAGAACGTAAAGACCAGAAGTCAAACAGTAAGCTCTGACCTCCATATGTTCATTGTTTTACAACTGTCTATTACTGTTCGTCTGATTAGCGTTATGTGTGTAGAACATATTCATACCTAGTGATTGGACTGGAAAAGGAGTGGCCTTTGTTAGTATCTTATAGTTCACAGAGATATTCTCATATTTTTTTCTGAAAAGGAATGTGGATCAAATTATTATTTCTTTGAAATGTTTCTAACATTACATATATCTTCTTTGCCAGGATCCAGGAATCCCCCTAAAGGAATAAATCCTGGTTTCTCCAAAAGCATGGAGAACTTGCTTGACTTCACACCTAAAACTGTAGACATACTTGACATATGTATGTGGGAAAAGTTCATGTTAAATTTTCCCCTTCTAAATGTAATCTTTTCTCTAAGGAGTCTGTGCTCCTCATTTTAATTCTGGAATAGACTTTAGATTCTACTCTAAAAGCAATCAATCAATCAATCAATTAATTAATCAATAGAAATATATCAGACCATTATTCAATTTATATGTATTATTTTATTGAATCTCCCAGGGGTTCGTTTCCTGTACAAAGACATAACTCACTATTAGGAATGCATTATTGGAGAAATGAATTAGCTAGTCACAAAAAAACTGTGGTAACTTGATCACACCTCCATCATTTAAACCAAAAATATAGGACTGTCGTTGATGATGTCAAGCGCAGGTGGTGTAATAAGTTAACTTCTGCTAACTAATCAGTTTGAGAAAGCAATTAGTCAAATTAATTTAGTTAATTTGCCTGAACAATATTTTTTTTTATATATATATGCAGTTTATTTAATCAGCAGCTTTTTCCACAATGTAATTTCTCTATAACGAACATGGCTCCTTAGGACTACTTCACTATCACAGGTCGAGAGCTGTAGCTCTAACTGCACAAGTTTGCAATGCTGTTTTCAAATGTTCATTGAAAATCTGGTTTCAGGAAATTGAAACCGAAAATTACAATCATATTTGGCTAAAAATGCTTGGTTTGTTATACTAATGCATGTATAAAATGAGCAAACCTTTTATTTTGGAGTCAATTCTTTAGTTGTTGCTGAAAGGTTTTTATTTCTTCTTTCTCTCTTTACAGCTCAACCTCTTAGTTCACCAGCTGCGCAAAACTTTGTTAAAAGGAGTGAACTTCTGAAATGTGAGTAGATAGTTTCTCCCTGTTTCACAGACAAGACTTAAGCCTAGTCCCAGACTAAAATGCATGTTTGAACTGAAAGCAACTTTCCCTGACATATCTTAAAATATATTAGTGCCATTGTTTTGGCTCAAGATGCACACCAGTAATGTTTTTTTTTTCTAAGGCATAGATATTTATAAAATCTACTTTAATGCCCTAATTGAACTAAGGCATAATCATGGCTTAATCTAAGCCCTGTCTGTGAAACCAGGCCTTAATATTTTATCCAATTGTCCATCTTCATCACCTTATGTGATAATCACATTTATGTGCTTGTGTGTTTCTCTTGTCTAGATGGCACTATCCTCAATTTTGATGTCAGAACAGCTCACAAGCGAATTTCCCTGTCTGAAAACAACACCAAAGCGACAGTCTCGGATGACCCTGCTAACTATCCAGATATTCCCCTTCGCTTTTCTGTCTGTTCCCAGGTGCTCTGCACAAAGGGTTTCTCTCAGGGCCGTCATTACTGGGAGATCAAAATGAGCAGTAACAACTTCTGTGGATTGGGCCTTGCATACGGAAGAATTGACCGCAAGGGTCCTGCTAGCCGCCTGGGGCGTAATGCAGAATCCTGGTGTGTGGAGTGGTTTAACGTGAAGCTTTCCGCATGGCACAACAGCATCGAGACGGTGTTGGCAAATCCCAACCCAAGCCGTGTGGGTGTCCTGCTGGACTGCGATCAGGGAAGCGCAACTCTCTATAATGTGCAGGACCGGTCCTTCCCCTTCCACACCTTCGTCTTCCCTTTCACTGAGGCTGTTTATCCAGCTTTCTGGATCTTCTCAAATGGTTCTTCTGTGTCTCTGTGCAAGCTCAGCAACTGAAACTGTATGAGGTGAACTGTTATACATTGTTATTAATTGATGTTTCGTCCATCTTTGGGACACAAAGGACATTTTGTCCATCCATTGAAAGTCCACACAAGCTTCAAGTTTATAAAAACATCCAGTGAGGATTGTTCTCACATCACAACCCTCAAAGCAAGCATGTTTGAACTAATGAGGCTTGTTCTTGTGCATCAAGCATGATTGAGCTGCTGTTGACCGTATTAGATGCTATGTGTGTGTTGGTTAATGTTATGTGAATAAAATCCTAAATTAAATCTGTTCAGCATATAAAGTGATAATTTCTCTTCAAAAGACTTGGATTAAATTGCTTGATTTATATGGATTACTTTTACGATGTCTTTTACGATGAAATGTTTTTGAAGCTTGCTTGAAGGTTGCTTTGACTTTAAATGGATGGACACAAATTATGTGAGTATATTATAAGTAAAAAATAAATCTTAATTTCTGTTGAATGAAAGGAAATCACAAGGGCAAGTAAATGAATACAGCACTTTCATTTATGGGGGAACTTTCCCTCTATTTTTTTATTACTATTATTATTAATTTGGTGTGTTTTATTATATGGTTACAATATGGGGTGTCTTTCAAAGGACCTTGGCAGACAATCAAGCCAGGGTTGTCATTACATTTTTAATTCAAAATTTTGTATGTTGGGATTGTACAGACTTCATAAAGCAGACTTTGTAGTCTATAAATGTTCATTAATATCTTTTAATATTGACCAAAAAAAAATTGATTGATGGATGGACTTCATAAAGCATACTCTGCAGTCCATAAATGTTCATTAATATCTTTCAATATTGACCAAAAAAATTGATGGATGGATGGGTATCTAAAGGCTAATACAATCAAACTGTCATTATTGCAAAGTGTCAACCAGAATCGAGTATTACAAAAAGCCATAATAGTCATACGTCATCGATCCATTAAGGGGTAAATTCAGTGTGCATATGTGGTTTGCAGATGTGACATTCATTGTTCTCTGAATTCTGTTGTTGCAGATTTTAGGTGCGAGTTGTTCGAAGTTTTTAACTTCATTAAAGGATTACTACTGCCGTCTGTTGGTTTTATCACATGGGCAAAGTCCATTGCTAGTGAGCTCCAGATAGAGTTGTCTTGGTTCCTGACCAAAGTATCCTGGCTTGCTCCAGTCAGAACTGTTTTTAAGTGTTTCATGTGAAGAATTAGTCCATTCACATAAATTCTGGCACATTTAAAGTGTGACATGTGGTCAGACAAAATAAAAACAGGTTTCACTTTGGAGTGATTTTTTTTCTAAGGAAATATGTCTGTCTATAAAAATATTATAGATGTTTTTCTATAAGAATATCTCTGTAAGTTCTATAGTGAAGCATATATTGTTTGATTTATGCAATATTAAAATTGTGGTTAATATGGCATGTAAAATAATTAAATATTATGATTCAGAATTATGCCAATAAAGGCATGAACATACCCATGTTGAGTACATATGAGTACATTTAATATTGTGTAGATGTATAATTCTTTCTCTCATTGTCTGTTGTATTTATCACACTTCTTGTGATATTAAGTTATGGGATGACTTGATCCTGCTTCTGAAATGGTGATTGTTCGTTTGTGCAGCTCATTTTGTTTTCAGTGCTGAACAATAAAATGTTCAATAATAATAATAAAAACCAAATCTTAAAAAAAAAAAAAGTGTTATGTTTTAATTAACTTTAAATAAATGATTTAGCTGAATCATCACCAACTTGTAATTTGATTCACAACAAACATACAAACAAGCCTACATTAAACACATTGGAGAAGCTACAGATCAAAACTATGCTTTATTTGCATTTGAAATACAAGCCATAAGCCATGGGTGTCAACCATGTCATGTTTCTAGCATATAGAAGTCGGTGCAAAATATCCCAGCTTTCAATATTCAATAATAATAATGAATCATTACATTTATATAACGCTTTTCTTGGCACACAAAGCGCTTTACATAGAAGGGGGAATCTCCTCAACCACCACCAATGTGCATCATCAACTTGGATGATGCGACGGCAGCCATATTGCGCCAGAACGCCCACCACACACCAGCTTATTTTTTAAGGGATATTTAATAACCAGAGACAGGACCTCGTTTAATGTCTCATTCAAAGGACTGTGCTTTTTGACAGTATAGTGTCCCCATCACTATACTGGGGCGTTAGGACCCACACAGACCACAGGGTGAGCACCCCCTGCTGGCCTCACTAACACCTCTTCCAGCAGCAACCTGGTTTTCCCAGGAGGTCTCCCATCCAGGTACTAACCAGGCTCAACCCTGCTTAGCTTCAGTGGGCAACCAGTCTTGGGCTACAGGGTGATATAGCAATACAGTGAATCCAAATTTAACACTCCCAAATGATTCAAATGATAAATCATTCATATTCCCACTGAGAATAATATTCCTGTTTAAAACTCCTTTGACACATTTAGAGCGCGTATAAACAGTGTCTAATTTTAGTAACATTACAGGCGTCTTCAGGAAACAAAACAACAATTAGAAAGTAAAAATATACAGTTCTAAAGAGGTTTGCATCACAACCACTGCTTAAACATGATGGAAAAAAGTAGTTACATTATGTAATTTCAAAATAAATTTTCCTTGACTAAATAATAAATATACACATTGCAATTTAGATTTTATTCTTTCCTAAGGTTTTCAGACATTACTGACCTTGTTTTAATAAGACTAATACAGCAGTCTACATGTCAATGCACAACTGAATGAACATAATTTAACAGGGAAAAATAATAAATCTTTACTGCAGAAAAAGGAAATATACCATATCTATAATATATTTGGTAACACTCTTGTAAACATTTCAGCTTCCAAAGTAACAAAATCTCAACAAAATCAAAATCTAAATCAATTATCTATGAAAAATGGCTGCCATTTTCATTTTCATTACTTTGAATATGAAATGAACTATGAAATGAAGTAAAATTATGAACCATTCAAATACATTACATCAGCAAAACCTCAGATGTATCAAGTTTACAGCAAAGTTTTCCTGAACGTCATGTGCTTGAGCGCTTATCAAAGTCGTAAATAGAGATAGATATAACTCATGATGACATTACATATTACCACTCCTACAGCTATTTTTCTTTTCCATACTTATTAGTTTCTCAAGAACATCACTGATACTAGAGCATGTAATCACTTGAGCATGACTCACACAAAAGCTGTTTGTCACAACCGTTCAAATCATTGTTGAGTCATCAAATGGGACTTGATGTCATGAAACTGAGCCTAAGTCAGCAAAAGATCAGGTGATGATTAGGTCATGAAGGGAGGGGAAGCTACTATTGTACTGAAACGAGAAAGACTTGGAAGAGAGGAATAAAATAATCCTATTAGGATGGTCATATTATTCTAGGCAAAGTTAATCTCTTTATGTGCCACCATAAAGTGATTTTTTTTCACACACAAACAAAAGATGCATAAAAACTAAGATATCTCTACAGAAAAGTGAGAGAACATTTAATAAAACATAAAACATCTGATAATCAGCATATGCAAAAAAAGAAAAAAAGAAAATAAAGAATGGTTTCTTAATCCAGTGCTTTGAAACATTGTACTGTCATTTCATAAACAAACCCAATAACACGTATGGAATACTTAAAATAATAAGATATCAATGGCACATTCTTCCACAATCTACTTTAGATTAAAGCAGTGCAAATTTGTTTCACAAAAGAAATAACAAAAAAGAAGAACCCAAGCAAAATTATTGCACAGCTTAACTTATACAACTCAAACACTCGACTTTCTGCAGCGAGTTGTATATTCACAGGCCTATGGCACTCACGATCAGTGAAAGACATTCATGTCTAAGCAGCTTTGGTTGCAACATTCTCCATTGGACTAAATTTTCCGATTGCCTGTGCTCTGCTTACAGCTAAATATGATTCCATGTTGGACTAATAACGGCTAAAACCTTAGCCACTTCCGGGTAACACTCCCTGTGAGTAAAAATGTACAACAAAAAGATTTTTCAACAGAGACAGACCTCTTGTGAACAGTTTAAGTAGAGGGGGCTGCCTAATGCTTGAAAGAGAAAGAGGCTTTAAAACTCATGAATAACCACTGCAGATGTTATTACTAGAGTAGCACATGCACATTATGTACGTTTACGACTATGACATCATACACTTATCACATCAGGGTTTCTTCTGTTCATGCTGTGCTACTTTCTGGGGTAGAAATAGCACAGAAAGAGCGATTATATCCTTGCTAAGACTCTGACACGGTTTCCTGTGTGTTGCTAGCGGTGTCATTGTGATCGGCTGAGGGTTCTTCAGTCTCTGAGGTGCTGGAGTCGTCATCATCTGTTTGTTCTGCACTGTGGTACAGCATGAGAGCCTGGGTCTTATGGGTAATGGTGATGGTGCATGGACCCTGCGCCCACGGCTCTCCATCCACCTGCATTGGCATCCGAGAACTCTTCAATACCAGCTACCACAAAGAAGAAAAAGGATAATCATGTTTTCATCTTTCTGTTTGTTGTTGGACAGTATAGGTGTATATGACACAGAATGACTAACAGTGCGTGTGTCCACTGGCACAGAACGAGCAGAGCAGGTGTTTTCAATTAATTCCTATGGGTGTTAAGCAACACGTTTGTGCGGAGGCTTGTGGGATTGACAGCAGACCAGAGAAAGCATTGAGAGCTTCCGAGAGCATAAAAAAATAAGTTGAGAAAGGCTCAACTGCAAATGAGGAGTGGACAATGTCGGACGGCAGCAAATAGCTGTGAGGTTAAGGTAGTTATGTTGCAGTTTGCAGTTGTACATAAAGGGGTTGGACAATGAAACTGAAACACCTGGTTTTAGACCACAATCATTTATTAATATGGTGTAAATTAGTATGGTGTATGGTATTAGTAAATGGTTAGTATGGTCATATCCTTTTATGACCAATACAGCATAAATTCGTCTTGGGAATTACAGATAGAACAAGTCCTTCACAGTGGCCAGAGGGAGTTTAAGCCATTCTTCTTCCAGAACAGTATCAAGGTCACTATGTGATGCTGGTGGAGGAAAACGTTTTCCAACTTGCTCCTCCAAAATGGCTCAAAAATATTTAGATCTGGTGACTGTGCATGCCATGGGAGATGTTCAATTGCACTTTCATGTTCATAAAACCACAAGGCTTGCTGTGTGTATTGGTCCATAATCGTGCTGATACACGGCACCCCCTTCAGGGTATAATGTTTGAACCAAAGTGCACATGGTCCTCCAGAATGGTTTGGTAGTCCTTGGCAGTGGTGCCCATAAGGCACAGTAGGGAATGCCATGATATTGCAGCCCAAACCATCACTGATCATGCTTCAACCCCATGCTTCACTCTAGGCAGTAAGGCAGGTGTTAAGGCTCTTTGGGGCTTCTCCACACCGTCCCAAGGATTTGGGAAAGACAGTGAAGGTGGACTCATCAGACAACAATACATGTTTCACATTGTCCCAAGATTTGCACTGTTGGCACCAATGAAACATTTGGCATTGGCACAGGTGACTGACTCTCCTGTTTTGGTGGAAACAGAGTCGAGATACGCATTTAATTCTGCAGTCTGACACTCTGCTCTTATTGATGGAATATAAAATCAGTGAAGCTTGGCCACCAGACCAAGCATATATAGGCATGAAACTTCCAACAATATCTTGGCCAGTGTTTCTGTTTCATTGTCCAACCCCTGTATATGATACATTTTGAAGTTTGGATGCTTTCATTGTGAATAGACTGGCTGTTAACAAAAGTTTATTAAATTGACACCATTTGTTTTGTTTTTTTCAGGCAAACAAAACTTGTATCTTTCTAACTGTAATTGTGTGTATATATGATGGTTATATTTGCCATGTACTGAAACCAAACATAGATTAAACACACTTGCTACAGACTCCCCAAAGGCGTTGTAGCAGTTTGAGTGGCCCTGAGTGGAGTTTTGCCGTTGAAGTGTACACGTCCACTTAAGCAACATTAAGAGTATGCTGTATGAGTAAAGAACATTTTTATGGTCTCACCCGTACAGTATGTGCCTGTCCCAGCCTCACAGGATTGGCCAGTTTCACCTGGATCTGTGCACAGTGGAATGAGCCATATACCCCCACCACCTCCAATAAGCCATCATCCACACTGAAGAAAGAAAAATTAAGAAAATATTAAACCAGCAGTTTCAAATATCATCCTACTGTGATCCAGATCTATGAAGTTTCATTTAATTTTAGCCTATGTTCACAAAGTCAAACTATGAGTCTCTAAAGTGTACAATACAGTGACGTCTGGATTCTCACCGTGTTGGAGGATAAGGCTCATCTCCCATTCCCTCCCACAGTCTACATCCACCACCCCAGTAGCCGATATTACACACTATTATCCCCTCCAGATTGGGCAAAGTCACTTGCTCTCCATCCAGCTCCAGCTAAAGAGACACAATTAAGTTTTAACAAGCATTATAATTGTAATTATGCAGTACTATATGTAAAGATAAAACACAGTGTCATCTATTAGAAACACGATTTAGTTCAGTAAATGCAAGACTTCACCAATAATTTAGTTAAAGCCCTAAATGTTTTCTGTTTCACTTGGATGTACATCACAATATCGAGGAAAAGATATATGTTGCTACTTCTATTTCATTGCAACTTTAAAAATGCACTTTTGGTCTGAGATGTGGTCTAGTGGTTATAGCACATTAATGCAGAGTCACATATTCTCAACAATTGTATTTTGCTTTCACCTTCATAGCTGACAAACCACCCACCATGGATATTATTACAGTTGAAGCATGTAGTTTTTTCAGTATTAAAACAATTTCTCCTATTTCTGATCAATGTGCGGAGCAGATGTGGCTACAAGTAAGCCATTCATATATAAGAGTGTAAACACTGATGCTTTCAAAACTGTTTAGTCCACTCGTGTCAATTTCTGTCTAACGGCATTTAGGTAAGTAACTTAAGTAACTTTTTTTGTATGAACAATGGTAGATAGGGGAATGTTTGGAGAACCTGTTTAGAAAGTCATTATGTTTACAATCCCATTTGGTTCTGCTGTGGCACAGAAATAACCTGCAGCTTTAAAGAAAATTCTGTTCTCAAATAAGCACCAGGAATCAGTAACACATTAACAATATAGAGCTTGATAAAGTTTGCTAGAAATAGATTCTTAGTATTTGTAAAGAGTCTAATAATTATCCCAGTCTATTATCACACTTCAATAGAGTTTGTATCATGTTTTAATCGAGTTTGAAATGGTTATTCATCATTACAGCATTATTTAAGACACAACAGTGACCCAGTCCAAAATGGTACCCTAAAAACTTGCAGCCTTCCTACGAGTCCGCACTTTCGTGACGTAACGCTGCTTTGACTGTCGGGAAAGAAGTCTGCCTTGGAGCTTGCTTCAGTGCGGGCTCGGCAAAAGTGCGCATTGAGGGCGCATATCAACCGCAAAGGGGGGCGCTCGTGAGCACCCTTCTGAAACCTAAAATGACAAATGGGACACCCTATGGTCTTGTGGACTTAACGGACACGCACACGCAGCAGCCATTGTTAGTCCACAAGATCTTAAGTACATATGAAGTGTGCCATTTGGGACAGGGCCAGTAAGGTAGTAGGAAGTCAATGTCAAGGCTACAGTCTTCCAGAGAAAATGCTAATCATTATGATGACAATAATAAAGGCAACCATCAAATAACACTTTGCCTAAAAAACTTTTCTCTGCGAGCAAGTTAAAATGTTTACCTCAATCTTCTTATCCAGATCTTTACATTCTTGCACTAAACAATCTTTGGTACCATAGAGGAAGTACACTGCCTATGGGAAAAGACAATTGGTAGTCCTATTAGCCATAAATTTGCAAAGGAAATCTGATTTTAATGAAAATGGAGAACATGGCAGTGCATTAATACAGGATAAATTGTGTAGTAAGCCTACTAATAAGACATTAGTATTATTAACTAATATGTGTATGTTTAGCCCCTATTTATATTAGGTGTCTTTAACTACTATGTACTGGTGTTAAAACATCACAAATGTTTGGTATAATGCACTTACTGTGTTCATGTTATATTGCAAAGCACCTTTGCTGCTATTGAGGTGAGATATGGTTAATGTTAGGGACAGGTTTGGTGGTATGGTTTTGTTTAAGGCTAGGTTAAAGGGTAGGGGAAGGGTTTACATTATATGCATGTACACAAGTGCATTGTATCAAAAATTAATTTAAATGTTAGTACATAATAGTTTAAAACGGTTAATATAAATCATTATATAAAATCGTTTTTTTTTTATAATTGTGGATGTATAATCCAAATACAGAATCATAACATTTTCTCAGTTCCTTTTCTAAGTGGAACTTCAAAGCTGTGTCTTGGTGTTGATGCTAAGGGGAATGCCATCAGCGTGACCAGTGTCTGAGCATGTGTAAACAAACATCAATACATTTTTGGCAGATGGCAGTCTATGATGTCACACGTGGAAAGCCAGAGAGTATAAAAGGGTGCCTGGGTTACCAGCTTTTTTGTTCTCAAGAGCTGTTTGTTTGCAAGCGCGTGAAGTAAACAATAGAGAGCAGCGAGACAGTGTGTTCCTCCGTGCAGGCGTTATCCTACACCTGAGGACTTACATGAGCTCTGCGTCATCTGACTTGGAGCGGGGCACATGTGTTCAGCGCTGGGTGGGAGGTTGGGGGGGGGTACTCTGGGTTCGGGCTGAATTCCGAGCTCGAAGCCCTCCCCCCGGACAGCATGCCAAATACGCATTAAACTTTACTCCCTCTAATTGTATATAAGTGTGAACTCGTGAACTTCAGTAAAAGCTCCAACTTTACTATCAAATCTATGCCAGACCACCTTAAAGGGATAGTTCACTTTGAAATTAATTTTTGGTATGTTTTAGCTTACCTCAAGGGCATCCAAGATGTAGGTGTCTTTGTTTCCGCAGTAGTTTCAATTTTGATATTTTTAGGTCAAACCGTTCTTGTCTGTCAGTCATATAATGCAGGTCTATGGTCACCACCTCAAAGAGCATGCACAGAGAAGTCCAAATTAAACATGATTTAATGACTCGTAAATGTAAGTACACATTGATGGCCTAAGACACGAAACGAGCGGTTTGTGTGAGAAAACGAACAGTATTTATATCGTTTTTACCTCTTGTAACCACAGCCACGTCCAAGTGATCTGAGGGCGCGGGCGCTTCCGTCTGCGCAAGCGCCGGAAAGCGCCGGAAGTGATCTCTCGCGCGTGTACGAAAAAAATTCAACGTTGTCTGTTGATATATCAAAATCGTCTTCCATTGCGATTTCCTGTATATCTAAATATGTTTAGATCTTCACAGTGAAAGGTAACACTTCCGAAATCTGTGTAAACAATGAGTGACGTACACGCGCGAGAGATCACTTCCGGCGCTTGCGCAGACCGAAGCGCCCGCGTCCTCAGATCACTTGGACGTGGCTGTGGTTACAAGAGGTAAAAACGATATAAATACTGTTCGTTTTCTCAAACAAACCGCTCGTTTTGTGTCTTAGGCCATCAATGTGTACTTACATTTACGAGTCATTAAATCATGTTTAATTTGGACTTCTCTGTGCATGCTCTTTGAGGTGGTGACCATAGACCTGCATTATATGACTGACAGACAAAAACGGTTTGACCTAAAAATATCAAAATTGAAAACATACCAAAAATTAATTTCAAAGTGAACTATCCCTTTAAGGCTTGTAGGCAAAGCATATGCGGCAGCGGGTCAGGCTGGTGGTGTCCTACACACCATGGAGACGGTTTTAAATTTGTCTTCGTGTCAACGTCACAGGATGTAATGTTTTCTTGAACTATAATACATCGATGACTCATCTGTGTTTCATAATTATTCATGAGACTGCATGTCCTTATCCTATGAGAAGACGCCTGCTTAATTATTCATGACAGCACACATTGATTTCCTATTACAGGTGCTTCAAACAGTGAGATCGCAAACAGTAAGTGAGAGATGCATTAATCAATCAAAAACGAGTGTTTGCTTTTGCTTTGTAAGAGTTTCTGCATCCCATAAGTTCTCTTCAATAGATTCTGAGTCTTCAACACAAATGCAATTCATCAACAGTGTAACCGGACTTTACAGCCCTTTAAAAGATCAAATGGTTTATAAAAACGCAGCAAAATAAGTCTCAAAAGTTATCAAAGATGCAACAGGGTGTTCATATATATTTTCAAATGCAGAGAACAAATGCGAATGGCTGTGCATTTATTTGAGTATCAAATTACCATTGTCACATGCTATGTACTGTATGCATTATGGTTTTGTAAGCTCACTATAAATTACACTGTGTATATTGTGTTGATTCTAATGGTAATTTGCAGCGTGCATTAGTGGGAAACTTTGATACTTTTAATGAGAGTGAAATAAAACTGTCTGAATCAGATGCCGTTGCTATGTTGTCAGTCTTTCCCCTCCACTCCGCAGCTCACCACGCCCACTTTTGTAGCATTTTTCAAAACTGGTGAGAACTGACTGCTGCTATAATAGGGGGTTAATGACCCTTTAAAGTGCCGACATCAGGCTTTGTCTTGGACTGATGATTCAAGTGGTGCATGTCGCACCACTTGTAAACTTGATATGGTCATTGGAAAATGCTTGGTGTTAGCACTGCTGAGAGTAACTGCTTGAGAAAGACAGTTGCTGTGAGATGATGCAACCACTCTTTGATTTAAGTTGCCTTTGTCATGTTTACTGGAGGTTTCAGTAGTAATAATTATTGGATTATCAATCGGACATAATGATTAAGTAAAATAATGATTAAGTAATTTCTACTATCATCTCAGATAAGTAATGATAAAGAATAACCGAAGGGGTTGTAAGGTTCACCGTGACCACCTCCTATAAAATCACTATCAGATGCGTAGCGTTACGCATCTGATAGTGATTTTATAGGAGGTGGTCACGGTGAACCTTACAACCCCTTCGGTTATTCTTTATCATTACTTATCTGAGATGATAGTAGAAATTACTTAATCATTATTTTGATTCTCTCTCCAGTACTTCTAGAGGGCTATATTAGTCGACTGTGAACTAAAAAAAAGGTCCATATGCACTTTTGGGATGATGTGAACTATCTCACATCCTTCTAGGACTTGTGGTTGTTAACAACTGTTGCTAAGAAAGCACGGGAATAACGCAGATTGTTCAGTCTTTTTTTGGAAAAATAATAAGGAAAAGAGAGGTTGGTAGCTGATTCTCTCGGTCTCCTGTATCGCGCACTGATGTTCAGATTTTGTAAATATAGTGCAAATATTACTGTCATGCGATGCAGACTTTTTCACGGTGTTATTGGTAGGTTGCATGTCCGAGGACATCCCGTCCTCTTCACTTGGTAGGAGAGTGGACTGCCACAATGGAGATGAATCAGTCATCCCTCTGTTGCTGCCCAGGTCAACTATTCTGCTTAACTTTCTGGAGGCTCTTGCAAGGGCAGAGCAAATGACGAAGATAGTACCCTCTCTTTTTTTCCTCTTGCATAAGTCACATAGAATGTGCCCTTGGATGTTGACGCATTCTTCTGACTCCAGCTAGATCCTTAGTCACTTAAGTGCTATACTCGCTCTGTTTGTGCATACTCACACTGAGGCAGGCATTCTTCTGCATTGAGTAGCAGGTATTGCGTTCCCCATAGCGTCAACACCAAGACTATTGAAGTTCCACTTTGAAAGGGAACATCTCAGGTTGCGAATGCATCCCAGGTTCCCTGAGAAGGGGAATGAGATGCTGTGTATTGTTTCCATGCTTCAGGGCATGCCTGCATGTCTACTTCAGACAAAAGAGTTGATGACATGTAAACGTCATAGACTGCCATCTGCCAATGATTATTGCTGTTTGTTTACACATGCCCAGACACCAGTCACACAGACGTCGTTCCCCATTGCGTCAACACCAATACTTGTCTTGTTCCCCTTCTCATGGAACCCAGTTGCATTCGCAATCTAAGATATTATATAGAGGGAAGAAGAGCAACAAATTCTTACATATATAAACATATTTACACCGAAATATGTAGTTTATCTCAATAAACATATAAAAATACTCTTATACGCTATTTGGATTTCATTTTCCTGTGAAATGAGATGCCTCACACCTTATTGATGATTCGGCTGGAGAAAAAGGAGGGTGTTTTCTCTCTGTGTGCATGGAAGTTCAGCGCCATGAGAGCATCAGGACCCACTGAGAAATAATTATTCATGGCCAACACCTGGCGAGAAAACAGCCTTGAGCTAAAATCACAATCTCATTTCTTAAAGGGGTCATCGGATGCCCATTTTCCACAAGTTGGTATGATTCTTTAGGGTCTTCATGTAAAGTTTGTAACATACTTTGGTTAAAATTCCTCAAACAGCTGTTCACAGCGACCCATTTCGGTGTATGTCTCTTTAAATGATAATGAGCAACTGCTCACCACACCCATCTCTTCCATGGGGTGAGTTGACAAGACACAAAGTGCTGCCTTGGCAACCTGCCTTGGGGAACAGTATACAAATGGCTAAGGGCGGAAATATGCTAATACGGGACAGTCTGTCTGCGGTCGTGGGCGGAGCATGAGCAATATGACATCATATTGCTCAGAAAATCCAAACGGCTTGATTATTGAGAGTGTTTAGACTTTTTGAGGATTTAAAAAAAAAAGGAGTGAATGGATTTTTTTCATTGTAAGGTGGTTGTCTCCACACACTGTAAAGTGAATTTTGCATCCGATGACCCCTTTAACCACTTAATGAATCAAAAGCACCATGATTGATTTGACAAATACTATTAAATTAATACAGAGGTATTTCATGGAATTTTATGCTAATAAATTAGTTTTTATGTCAGTTTAAATTAGTTTAACATAATTTATTGCGCACTCTGAAGAACTATAATGTCCTGCTGGTTGTTCACAAACTGTATACTGACCTTTGGCTTACGAAAATAGTTTCCTTTGGAGGCAACTTGAACTTTCCACCTGAAACATTCAAAGCAGGAATGCAAAATAAATTGAAGAATAACTAAATCCAACCTTCATAATACAAGACTTTACAGCACAGCCAGGGTCTCACCTGTCCATCTTGACTACTTCAGCCTCTAGAACATTCCTGAGCACCTGTTCTACTGAGATCTCACCAGCGTATCCTGCTCCCCATCCCAAAGAGTTTGATAAATCATTGCCTGTGCCCAATGGCAGGATGGTCACAAAAGGGATAAACTGATCTTGACCCTATGTAGAATAAGAGAACAACAAACACAGGCAATATTTTAAACCCAAAAAACAACAAATGACTTCTTTTTTTAATGAAATAACACCACAAATTTGAAAATAATGCATATATAATGACATTACACATCCTACTAGCCAGGCCACATAAATATACAGTATTTATATATTACAGCACTAAAACACATGAAGAAATAAAAATGCGTAGCTTACATTCACAACTGATTTTAATCTAATGTATCCACTCAACTATTTAGCTTATACAGCTCTCACCTTCAGCTTCATGGTATCAATGGCATCCAGAACCCACCCCACTGTGCCGTCTCCCCCACACACCAGAACACGCACGCTGCCGGGGGGCAAAAGAGTACACAGCTGCAGGGCTTTAGAGGGGGGCAGCTCAGACAGATCAAACACCTAGGAGAAACAAATAAATTTGATTATCCTTCAAAAATATATATACATATAAAAAGAGACCGAATACATGGAAACAGGAAAACACTGGCCAAGTGTGTGAATGTGAGCACAGAGTCAACTTCTACCTGTACAGGGTTCAGAAGGGTACGAAATTCTCCCAGTAGAACCTCCCCCATGTTGTTGCCACTTCTTGTGTTTGCCAAGATCAATACCGGAGTCCAGCCACACCCGCACAATGCAGCAATCTACGTGCATACAAATAAACAATTAAACAGTCAATTAGGTTCATTTAATTACATTCATCCAGTGGACTGTGCATGAATTTATCATTTCACTACTGATGCTGAGGCGAATTTTCTTGCTTTGTGTGATGGCCCAAGCCACACAGGATGAATAACCAGCAAGGGTAATACAGCACACAAGCCATGTTTTAAGTACACAGGTTAAGTTATTTTTGCAGTTAGCCACACCCCAAACAATTCATGATTTATCACATTTCAGGTATAATATACGTTTATTTGCTTTAGCCATACACTGTTTAAATGGAGTGCATACATTTTCAAATTGTAGGGTTATGTAAACATTTTCTGTTCTATTAATCATTGTTTCCATGTTGGAGAGAGGTCTGTCCTGGGGGAAGAAAGGCATGGCCAAGGGTGGAGGAGAGATATCCTGTGACCTGCCAATTAAGCCATACCATGTGCTGCCATGTTGGAGGGGGATTTTGGGTTTAGTTTGTTTTACTTTGTAGTTGTTTGTATTTGTTGTCCATTTTGTTTTTCCTTTGTGTAAATTGGTTTGGCCAAGCCACTATATATGTTCCCTTGTGTCTCATTCATTTAGGTCAGTTTGTTCAGTTCATATCCTGTTTTGTTGTATGCTGTTTTGAATATAGTTATATTTTGTTGACCTCTTTAATAGGCCTAGTTGTTAACTTTTTGGTTTCTATTGTTTAGTATTTTTGGGGTAAATAAAAAAAAAAAATTCAACAAGAAACTCCTTTTTTCCTCATTGCCGGACTACTTGGTCCGTGACAATTGGTGGCAGCGGTTGGATTATCCAGTTGAGGAAGTTTTTTTTTTTTTTTTTTTTGCTGATCCCCCTACACTGAAGAAAGACGATAAAGGGAAAAGGTGGGAAAAGACTTGGTGGGTCTACAGTGGCCCAGGAGAAGCAAGCCAGTGAAGAGGAAGAAGGTGGAGCCTCAGGAGGGGCTGAGGACACAGAGGGTAAGGAGCCAACTCTGTCTGACTTGATGGCCATTTTTCAGGTGCATATGGGGCAGCAAGATGCTCGAGAGGCAAAGCAGAATGAGTTAACTGCAAGACAAGAACAACGTTTTAAAGCTCTTCAACACCAGTTTCAGCTTTTGCAGTTAGAAGTTCAGGCCCGAACATCTGTGGCGCCAAATTCTTATTTCAGAGGACTCTGATTCCTCAGAGAGGGAGGTTCAATGATCCACTATGCACCCTCTGCCAGACCAAGCTGAGCCCATGGTGATCACTCAAACAGGGGCCTCTGTAGGTCAGTCTTGCTCACAACATAAGCCCAGGTTGGACAAATTAACCGATAATGATGACATTGAACATTTCCTCATTACATTTGAACGCATTGCTGTAGCATGCAGGTGGCAGAAAGCTGATTGGATTTTTAGGTTAATTCCATTACTAACTGGCAAAGCTAGAAGTACATATGTGCATATGGACATTGATGACTCCCTTGACTATGATCAGGTAAAATCAGCCATTCTAGCTAAATATGACATTAACCCTGAGACCTACAGGCAGAGATTCCGGTCCCAAGAGGTGGACCTAGAGCCCCAAGGAGTTGTATGCAAGGCTCAAGGAGCTTTATGGAAAGTGGATCCAGCCTAAAGGTAAAACCATCCAGGAAATTGGTGAAGTGATAATACTAGAACAGTATCTGAGAATGTTGTCTCCTGAGCTGCAGGTCTGGGTCCGAGAGCACGACCCAGATTCAGCCATGGAGGCTGCTAAGACTGGCTGAGGTTTTTGTGGCTGCCCGAAAGAAGGGACAACCATGGAGCTACAACTCATGGAGAACTGCGAAGGACAATCGCAAACCAACGTCCCATCCAGGCACCGGGGTGGGTAAGTTTCCCATGATGGAAAGCCAGCCAGCTAACGGACCAGTTAAATCCTTAGGGAGGAAGCCAATCTGCTATCTTTGTGGAGTAGAAGGCCATACGAAACCTATGTGCCCAAAAAACTCGGTTAATATGACTCAGATGTGCTTTGTACCGCGAACTCAGGAGGAACCTGAGTTCAAGAAGGTCTATTAAAATGAAAAATATTGAAGTTAATGGGATAATGCTCAAGGCTCTGCTTGATTCCGGAAGTGATCAGACTCTTGTGCACAGGAGGTTTGTACCTCCCAATATAATTAGCATGGAAGACACCATACCTATCTGTTGTGTACATGGGGATGAAAAGAACTATTCAACAGCTGACATGTACATAAAGGTAGATGGGCAAACTTACCTGTTGAATATTGGGGTTGTCGATAGCTTACCTTTTCCTGCTGTGCTAGGGAGAGACCTTCCAGGGCTGTTTGATTTGATGGAGTCAGACCAACGCCGAAAATGTAATGCAGTTATTACCAGAGCACAGGCAACGAAATCCAATGACTACTCTGAGACTATGTACCCTGCCTTTCTACAATGAGGAGTTGGAGACAGCACCCGGGAAGTCTCGGAAAACTCGCAGACAGAGACGGCAGGAGAAGTTCCAACATACAGTGGTGAAACCACCAACCCATCCTGAACCTGAGTTACCCTTAGGATTTCAAATGCCAGAGAACCTAATCGAAATGCAGAAAGCTGATCCATCTTTAGTGTCTTTCTTTCAGAAAGCCGAGGGGAAGGAGCCAGGAGCTGGGCAAGACTCCAACAGAGATGAGTAAATTCTGCAAAATGGAATGCCATACCGTCAACAGGGGTCAGTGTTGCAGTTAGTGGCTCCCCAAGTGACTAGACATACCATACTCACCATGGGGCACTCTGTTCCCTGGGCTGGGGGGGGGGGGGGGGGGGGGGGGTGTGTGTGTGTGATGGCCCAAGCCACACATGGTTGAATAACCAGCAAGGGTAATACAGCACACAAGCCATGTTTTAAGTACACAGGTTAAGTTATTTTTGCAGTTAGCCACACCCCAAGCAATTCATGATTTATCACATAGTTTATCTCAGGTATACGTTTATTTGCTTTAGCCATACACTGTTTAAATGGAGTGCACACATTTTCACATTGTAGGGTTATGTAAACATTTTCTGTTCTATTAATCATTGTTTCTTTGTTACCATGTTGGAGAGAGGTCTGTCCTGGGGGAAGAAAGGTGTGGCCAAGGGTGGAGGACTGTGATATCCTGTGACCTGCCAATTAAGCCATACCATGTGCTGCCATGTTGGAGGGGGATTTTGGGTTTAGTTTGTTTTACTTTGTAGTTGTTTGTATTTGTTGTCCATTTTGTTTTTCCTTTGTGTAAATTGGTTTGGCCAAGCCACTATATATGTTCCCTTGTGTCTCATTCAGTTAGGTCAGTTTGTTCAGTTCATATCCTGTTTTGTTGTATGCTGTTTTGAGTATAGTTATATTTTGTTGACCTCTTTTATAGGCCTAGTTGTTAACTTTTTGGTTTCTATTGTTTAATATTTTTGTGGTAAAAAAAAAAAAAAACATTATTCTACAAGAAACTCCTGTTTTCCTCATTGCCGGACTACTTGGTCCGTGACACTTTGGTTCTCTTTTTCACAAATTGTAACTTTTCAAAAGACTTAGTACTCAGTTTGTAATTGAATCAAAAGTGTAGTTTTTAAAAAGTTTATGCATATTTTATTTTGGCATATAATAAGCGTTTCATATAAGAAATACTTTTCATGTCAAGTAAAAGCTTTTGTGGCTTTTTGCAAACGAGACGCTGCACTGAATATAGGAAGTGAATGCAGGGTCTTGTGATGCATTTTTTCAAAAGTAGAACTTCATTTAACTTGATGCAGCGATTATACACAATATGCTGAAAAAGCAACGAGACTGTACAAAACGTCAAAGACGTCCATCTTAAACATTCTTCCATAGAAAAGTACATAAGCCAGAAATTCATACTGCAATATACAGTATGCCTTTTTGAAATTCTCAGTATGAACACACTACTTCCACAACTTATGTGTTCTACTCTCAGAATCAGCTGAAAATTTCATAATTATCTGATTCTTATATTTTAATTAATCACACCTTTTGATTACACATTGAATGACATTATAGGAACAATGGAAGATTTTGAAAGAATGGGTGGCTGTTTTACAAGTACATTTTCATTAAATCTACCACTACATGTAAAATAGTACCAGAGATTATTAAAAAGAGTATAAATTTAAAAAAGTACCACTTTGGTCATTCAATCAGATTTATTTAGGGTGTAAAAATGAGAGAAGATCTGTGTTATAGGCAAGGCAAGGCAAGTTTATTTATATAGCACATTTCATACACAATGGTAATTCAAGTTATGCCAATTAAAAATGTTTAAATCTTAAAAGGGTCATGAAACTACATTTGAATTATTTTTGTATGACATATATGACTATGCGCCAGGGAAACAAGCACACAGCCGTCTTCAGAATTTTGTATTTGAACTTCTGTTTTTGCAGTAGCTCTGTATATTTCTATGGTATCGCTGCTGAAGAGTAATTAGCAGGTGAAGTGAATTTACTCATTATAGAGTTAGAAAACGTTATCATGAGCATTGTAATGTTTGAAGTGGAAGTCATAATAAATGTCAGTAGACCAGGAAGATTTTAAAACGAGCGGTTCATTCATAAATTCATAAGATCTTACCTTTAAGCTGTGGAAATACAAACCGGAAGACAGAACAGACTAACAAGGAAGTTTTGAGTTCTGAAACTTACAGTATGTTTTTATAGCACAATGATGTCTTGTATGTCAAAAGATCAAGGGAAATTTGATGAACCCTTTAAATACACACTAAACAATTGATTGGCAGAGAAACCAGCCTTTGTGCACAGCTAAAACCTTTGAAAAAAGAAAAGAATTTTTTTTCTGTATGACAGATGTTTGTGTTTGTGAATAGCTCCTCACCTTGCTGTACTCATCAGGGTGTCTTCGGCGGAGCTTGTTGACTTGATAGAGGTAATATGGAGGTATGATAACAGAGCGAAACTCTCCAAGATCACACAGATCATCACTCAGACTGGAAAGGCAGTCGTCATGCACTGTTGCCTGACACCATACACACCTATTCCCGAATAAAAGCAGCAAATTTGAGTGAGGGGGCACTTGTAGCTTGTTATAAAACACTGAAATGGATACTTTATTGACTGCAAACCCTCTGAAGAAACATCATAAGATTTCTTATCTTCAACAAGATACAACCTTAGTAAATAAAAAAATAATGGCACAAATTATTTCAAAGTGATTTTAAATTCACAAAAGCTGATCTGACACAAGTTTAGTGCTACTTTTGACACTGAGGATTAAGATGAAAGAAACTGGTCCTAGTTCGCACATTATTGGATTACAGGGATTACTGAATTTTTAATCAAATCGCGCTTTGGAAAGATTAAACACATAAAGAAGGACAGGCTTAAGTTCCAGTTTGTTCTGACAACAGTCAGTGATGCATTTTCAGGTGCTTCAACAAAAATAGATTTCTGTGTGCTCTCTTTTGCTATTGCTCTCCAGGTTATTGCCATCCTTGTTAAGTTAAGTTGCAAAAACACTTGACTTTCCTTCAAGATTTTTTTTGTAAATATTGATAAAACTATGGATGCTGCAGGAAGGTGGGCGTTAGTTCTAATCAAAATAGTTTTTTCTGTTTATGGTTAGAGAAATGTTTAGTTAAAACGTTCAAACCCCTATTAGAAAGCATTGTATTGTTTGCCATTTTGCCCTTGTTCTTCCTCAAGAATTGAGTTGCTTCCCATTTCTTTTCTTTTTTTTACAAAACTGATTTATTAATCCTTGGAAAGTTGCTGACCATCTGAAAGTGCCATGACAGAAAAGAGAACACCTGCAAATATTTACTCTTTCACTATAGTAGACGTGTAAATTTAAGAACTTTTTTTCCAGGTCTATGTTGATTAAATATGAGCCAAATTCTCTTTTACTTATTTATCTCCCATGAATATTCTCCAAAACAAGGTTAGCCAATTAGTTTTTGTCCAAAGTTGTGTTAGAATTTTTAATATCTCTGACACCATATAAGACCACTGTTTTGAATCCTGATGTAGCCTATTTTACACCAAGAGGATAATGTGTGCTTCTCTGTGACTTTAATTAAAATACTCAACTAAGTAGGCCTACCTATAGTCGCAGAGTTTAGGTTGAGTCCCGCACTGCTGTTTGCACTCGGCACAGTAGCTGGCGAGGGGCACATTTCCTCTGACCCACTGGTGGCAGAACCTCCCATCGGTCTTACTCTGGGTCATGATCTCCTTGCATGAGAGGATGCGATCTGCTCTGTGTATGCACTGCTCATCCGCACATATGCCGCAGCAGTCACAGAACGCCCCCTGCAGGATGGGCTGAGAGCACACGCAACAGTAGGTGGGCTTGTTGAAGAGGTCCGTGTAGTGCCAGCCGTGTTTGCCCTTTCGGAACAGATCTTTCAGCTGAACTTTGCGTTTGGGACGCTGGAAGCTGCACCACAGTGTGATGAACACTGGGACCAGAACAGCAACAACGGTCCAGAGGAGCAAAGTCCATTCCTCCCGTAGCTCCTTAGTGCTATCCTCCATAGCCACAATTCTAATTTTACAGGACCTTCGTCACGCACAAGTCAGGCCAGCTGAGAATGTTCAGTAAATTCCAGCGATCGTCATCAGTCATTGTACCGAAGCTATGAGATCCCACAACTATCTTCAATTTATAACCCCATCCGAACAGCACATCATCACATCGACAGGCAATGCAACAAACCTGAGTCACACTGATGTTACAGACCAGCCATCGTAAACATCCCTGCTGTCAAACACTTGGTACAGCAAGACACACTGTAAAGATAAATTACATCCACGTTTATATTCTACGTTTTGTTTTTTTCAAGGGGGGAGATGAGATCCCGTCGTCATCTTTGTTATCCACGCACTGCACTGAAACCAGTGGAAGAATACAAACAGCGGATAAAAATCCTTACTAGATTCATCTAGTTTAATATACGGAAACGGAAATGATGACGTAGGTCTATGACGGATCATTTTCAGTGACCAATAGGAACACACTACGTGAGACAAAAATCGAATTGTAACAGTCCGAAATTGTCTGCGTGACTGCGTCCCAGGATCATGACAGTTATAGGCTATTGTAAGAAAGAAAAATAATAAATTAACTCAACATAATGATATAGGTGAAAAAGTTACGAATTATAAACGTTACATTAAGATTGATAATAGTGAAAACCAGACATAATTATTTCTTTATTCTGCTTCTTCTTCCTTTTTTATGAATAGGCTATAATTAATTAACTAGATACAGGTCTACTGTAAACATGTTAGTAATTAGAAACAATGTGAAATGCAAAAAAAAAAAACCTGTTAGGCCTAATTATATTATTAGCCTATTATAATTAGGCCTATATTTGATTCTTCGGTGCAATATTCAGGGTAATTCACTGTAGAAATATGTTTTTAAAAAAGTATTTTAGCATGTTATTATTTATTTAGCCTATTTATTTATTACACTTAGCCTATCTTGTAATTTATGGTGAAAATACTGTATATGCCTATATTTAATAACAAGACAGTAGGCTGTATGTAGCCTACTTTTACAGCAAAATGAGCCCATCATAATTTACGTGAAAAGATAGGTTCGCAGAAGTCGCATTACATTTGATTCTATTTTATTTAATCAGTCATGTATCTTATTATTTTGTTAATGTTGTTTGTTATGTTGTTAGGTAGGCTAATTTTTAGTGTCTGTCTTGTGTTATTCTGAAGGTGTTTTGTATTTTTTTTGTTTTTTTTGGGGTGTTTTGTCTGGGTTTCTGTGCACTGTCAATTCCTGTTTATAATAATAATAATAAAAAAAAACATTTATAAAAATAGGCCTACCCTTTTTTATTTAATCGTTTTCCACCTGGGTGCTTGTCGGGTGCAAAGCAGATAGCTCGGGCAGGTATAGAAATACACCATAATGTCTGAAACATTGTCACCATATTTTTATCAATACATTTCTTGCACCCACAAGGCCACTTTTTTAACCGTATAATGTATCACGTTATCAAGAGTCATACGTTATAGTTTAAGTGAAGGCGACATCTTGTGGAATATGTCTGTAACTTCATCCAGATGTGCAGGCAGGAGTCGTCTATGGGATCTGTATCCAGTGGCCTTTGAGCCACTGTGTGCTGTTGGGGGCAACTTCTTCTAAATGACGTTGCCATGTATTTCATTCTCCTCCTCATAAGTTGGGGAGTGAAAAACTCAAGTGCAGTTATTTCGAGCCGAGGACGGACAGAAGTGACAATGAAGCTATTGGCATGCTTTTTTTGCGTTGTCTTATTGGCCTTCTCCACTGGTATGTTTTTTCCTGTGTATCTTATAACATGGATTCTATTTGCATAGCACTGTGTTTGTTTGTTTTTATTTAGCTTTTGTACTATGGCTTGTGACGTTTGTATGCAGGTATACCTGTTTTACCAAGTTTCATTTTCATGCAAAATAAGATTTTTTTTAACAATATTTCTATAATAAGGGCCTTTGAAAGTACCCTAAATAGCTTATCTTTTTTTAGTCTTCCTGCACTTCTAGCTACGACTGAAATAATTTAATATGAAGTTATGTGAGATTATTTTCAGCTATAGGCCTTCTTTTGTCATTGTTCATTATATGTAGGCTTTGCCTAGGCCTATGCAGCATATTGTTTTAGCTGCTGAAATTGTTACCTGAACACAATCGTCTTACAAATTATGTAATAATTTTACATGCACTTTCCGGCCCTCTAATAGCTAAATAATCTTATCTTATTATAAGATGGCAAAAACGTATAAAATGCTGCTCGGCTGTTTATCTGCCACGTTGGTGTTTACCGTAACGGGCTCATTTTCATACCCCTCGCGGGTCAGAGCTCCGGGTCACGCGCGGGCTAGGGCGCGCTCCCCGGGGAGACGCGATCATGAATGGGTACTTTGTGTTCTTCCATAGAGAAACGCCGCTGGGAGAGGGAGGGAGGGAGGGGTTGAAATGGGGAGGGAGGAGAGAAAGTGAGTGAAGTGTAGCCTATGTGTATGCGTGCGTGCGTGTCTGTGTGAAAGAGGGAGATAGATGAAGAAAGAGGGAAAGAGAAAGGCCAAAATTCATACAAATTACACCCCCAAAGGACTCGAGGAAATCTGAAAGAATAAAGGTTCAGAAGACAGAATGGCCGCCTGAGGAAGAATAGAGAAAAGAAAATTAGCATGTAGCTAATAAAAAGAAAGAAAGAAAGAAAGAAAGAAAGAAAGAAAGAAAGAAAGAAAGAAAGAAAGAAAGAAAGAAAGAAAGAAAGAAAGAAAGAAAGAAAGAAAGAAAGAAAGAAAGAAAGAAAGAAAGAAAGAAAGAAAGAAAGAAAGAAAGAAAGAAAGAAAGAAAGAAAGAAAGAAAGAAAGAAAGAAAGAAAGAAAGAAAGAAAGAAAGAAAGAAAGAAAGAAAGAAAGAAAGAAAGAAAGAAAGAAAGAAAGAAAGAAAGAAAGAAAGAAAGAAAGAAAGAAAGAAAGAAAGAAAGACTTTGATCATCTTATTTGCTTGCATAAAAATATACATGACTTTTTTTTACAGCATGTAGCGCCCCTTATTTAGAATAAAGTGTGAACCAATTTCTATCTAGGCCTATTCGTTAATTTTAGTCACATAAATAAATGATGCTGTCATGAAATTACAGTATGAAAAGGTGACCTTGATGCAGTTATGTCATTTTCCTAGATGCAAACCCCATCATTAAGGAGAGCTTTGCAAAGCAGCTACTCCGCACTAAGAGACAGAAGCCTGGACACCCCGACGAACCTATGAGGGTGGGGAGCCACCTCTCCACTCCTTTTATTCACATAATAAAGCTTATGCAAACATCTTGCATGAAAGCCTGCAATTTTTTTGTTTTTGTGAATATGCATCTGTGGTCACATTGTTGGTTTTAAGAACAAAATTCTTAAATCAATAAGTGAACTCAGCTCTCAATAGAATTCAGAGTCCATTGTGTGTATTTCAGGAACACATGCTACATATGCAGTGTCATGATCGCGGGATGAAAGACAGGAAGCAGATGCAAGTTACTCTTTTAATGATTATATATAAGATGAACACACAGTACAGCCGATGGTGAAGTGACGCAGGGGCTTCGGTGGCCAGGACTCGTGCAGACGTGCAGTGAAGACGTGACGACAACGAAAACCCCAATCCACTTGAACACGATGACGAACAGGAACACCAGGCTGGACAGGACACAGGAACACCGACACCGAGGACCAGAGACAACGTACTGACAAAGGATGTAGAAACAGAGGTAAGCATATATAGGGTTGAGAGATTGCGTGCAGCTGGTGAATTGATGATGATCAGCTGGAGCGGATCCGGAGTGCCAATCATTCACGCCCACACGCACGTGCACTCATACAACAACATAAACACGAGACAAGAAGAGAGCAGAGAATACGTATACCGTGACATGCAGAGGCTGGAGCAAAGGGCTCGAGAGACCAGTATGGAGAACTGGCTGAACCCTCACTGCTTCCCTCGTTGTGACCGCAGCTACCGGCTACCCTGTGTAACCGGCCCGCAGTGATCCATAGGTTCTTCTCATCTTAAGCTTTATATCTCTCACTGTAGACTGCAATGTTTGAGCTTACTAACATGGTTTCAGATAGGCTATTATGTAAATTGTGCCTTCCCTCTTTTCTTTATAAATAAAAAGAGAATTAGGTGAAGAAAGTCAGGTTTGCAACTCAAATGTGTCCAGACAACAACAATTTGGGTAAATGCAACAATAATATTTTACACACTTTACATCATCTGGGATTTTTTTTTTTTTTTTACAATGGAGCTGAAACAACAAAAACAAGATAAAGTCTTTATTCATCTTTATTCAGGGTTTAAATTATTAAAATGATTATTTATTTTTGTGTGTGGCGGGTATAGGAATATAGGCTATACTTACCATGGTTAAATCATACCTTTCCTTTTGACTTTTGTTGCGCTGTTTTGCCATGGATTTTAAAGGCGGCGTACGATTAAATGTAACTGCGACCTCATTGCTTTTTATCAAGGAAAGGGTTGACATTTAGGCTACTAAAAACTTAACTTAGTTGAGTGCAAAATCAATGCAAAGTGATTTTTTTTCAGGCTGAAGACAAGAATTCCGGCGACGACAATGCTGATCAAGACAACGAAATGGATTGCAATCAAAAAGAAAAGATCCAGAAATGCTGAGGAGGCCAAGGACACAAAAAACACGAAGACACCCACCCATCGATAGTTTAGGAGCATTGTAGATGTGCTATTTAGATGGAACATCTTAGAATCGGTGTTTTTTAAACGAAAGAAACCAATAATCAAAATTAAAAATGATTTGCTTTTTGATTGTGACTGTGGTTTATCATATTGCGTGCGGAGTATTTTAGTTGTATTATGATTGGAACGTAAACAACCCAGTTCAAACTAAAAAGATAATTTAGAAGATTCAAGGTGTCTATAAACATTGCCAAGAGCTTGACCTTTACACTGCAATATATGAAGGCCCAGTGACTGTTTGAAAGCACATTAAATGTTGTATAAACCTAAAAGTTTAGACTTTTGTCAACTGTCACTCATGAAACCATAAAGGCCAAATATATATATATATATATATAAGGCTATAAAAAGTAAGTAATTATAACTAAATTAAAGGTTTGGGAATTTTTCAAATAGCCTATAGCATTTAATGCTACTCTGCAAATAAACATTTAGGCATCAGGTTAAAAAATAAAAAAATAAATAATGTAGAGATAATATATAGGCTATTTCCTCTATATATTTGTAAATATGATTCAGTATGACTCGTTGAGTACGGACATTGTACGTGCGCTTTTCCATTTAAGATGCCATTAAATAACTTTTATTCGCACTTTTTATAGATCTTTAATACTTACAAAATCGCCCAACAAAATATGTAGAATAAATAAAAGTTAATTTAATTCATTACTAAATATGTATGAATACTAATTTGAGCTGAAGCAAAAAGAAACAAAATAAACATGTTCATTATTATTTTACTTTTTGAATTTGAGATGAAAAAAAAAACAGATTTTTATTTTACACTTTTATATCTGTAAATTGATATGGTTGTTGTACCGTGACACAAGTTTACAAGGTAACGGACAATATAAACTTACAACAAAAAAACAAAAAAAGTCCACGTAAATTACAAGATTTCAAAACGTAATGACAAGACACAATAATATGACGCTAAATGTGCAATATGTCAACTTTAAGGCTGTACATAAATGTTTGAGTTCGTGTGGGAGAACTAATAGACTTATATATATTTGTTACCAATTTGTAATTAAAATGTATTTACAGCAAATGATCTAAGAACTCTTGTATGCATTTGGACGCAGTTCTAGCATTGTTTAACATGTCATGCAAATCTCTTAAAGCAGCAATTTCACAATAAATACAGATTGCAGTGGGACAGAAAACTGAATAAGATTTTTTTATATATATAAAACACAATACAGAATATTTTTGATGATAAAAAGACTTCTGAAGAAGGGCATCTGGCTGCAAAATCATCTTTTGTCTTTGAAAAAGCCTTTATCTGTGCTGCTCTCTTTGATCGTTACAGTCAGGAAGTTTGTTGTCACATCGGTAACTAAAACTTTCTCCACATTGCTGAAGGAGGGTCTCCAAGGATCTCCCTCCTCAGGCTCTCCAAAAATGCGTGACACTGGGATTTTGGCGATAAGTGAAGGCTGTCTGCTGGTGGACTCACCATGTTCAAATGTCCTTCGTTTTGAATGATGCTTCAGGTGTTTGTGGTGAAAGAGGCTTGTTTGTGGATTAGTCCTGCTGGAATGCAAATTCCACTCTGGAGAAATGTGCTGGGTACTCCTGCTTGGAACAACTCTGTTTTGTTTGTGTGAATAGGTAGCATCCATGTGCTTGTGAGATATTTTAATTCTCCCAATCATTTCAGAGCATCTCTCTTCATCTTCACCCAAACCCAACTTTGCCATTTTGGAAGGAATGCTTGCCATGGTTTCATCTGCAGCTCTTTTTGCATGCCCTGGATGCAAGGAGCTTGTGTAGCCATCTGTGAACCGTAATTTGGGCTTCCGTCCTCTCTTTTTTGGGGCAAGGGTAAATGCATCAGTGCTGGCTCTTGGTGAGGATGGAGAACGATGCTCCCTTGGTTCTGGAGGTGAATGCCTTACACTCTCCCCTCGGTTGACTGTGCTGGGAGGGAAAATGGTGGGAACCACAGCACGCAGTCCCTCTCTCGCTCTAGGGGTTATCACAGGCTCTGGACTGGGATATGCAACATGAATGCCCCTGGATGTTTCATTCCTAAATTCATAACACTTTGCCTTTTCTTTAGCTTGGGCCTGCAAAAATATATGGTTTAAAAAAATAAATGCAAAAAACCCCCCCAAAAGTATGCCCTTTTTAAAAAAAAGTGTTATTTATTCATTTATAGCCTACTAACAAGGGCTTGAGTGCAAACCCAGTTACTTAAAAGTGAATATTATACACATATATTTCAACAAAAAAAAGATGTTCAAAAAACAATTTTAATAAATAAATGACAATACAATACAATACCTTTAGAAGAAAAGTCTTCAGCTTAGGTCCTCTTTTCTTGGGTCCAAATATTTCTCTCTCACGCTCCCTGAATGAAAATACAAAAGCATGTGTGAAAATGTCTGTATTTTTGACTGCCTAATATATATATATATATATATATATATATATATATATATATATATAATTCATCTTTATTTATTTATTTATTTATTTATTTTACCGCTCTTCAAAGGCAACGAAAAGGCGCGAGTCTAGGATATTTTCCTCTGGTTCCCAAGTACTGTACCTGTGAGAACAAAAAAAGTTTCAAGTGATAACTGTTAATCTCTAGCTGCATTTAAACCACTGCTTTATCGGCCACTAGCAGCAGGGCCAGCTAATGTTGCAGCATGCCATCTGCCAAAACCAGTCTGCAGTAATAGCATGTTAACCTGCCAGCTGATCTATGGCCTTCGCGATATTTAGCAGAGTTGACAGCCATCGCTGTCACTAAAACGATAGACAGGATGGACATGGGCATGCATGCATTACTCACTTGGGTGACCAGCCCTTCCATTTAACGAGATATTCCATTCGACCCTGTGCGTGCCATCAGACATACACACACACACACACACACACACACACACACACACACACACACACACACAAAGAATTCGTTAGCGTGAGCCGAAGACATGAGCACATATATGCAGAAAAATGTCGATATCACTCTCACTCAACACATACCCGTCGTATTCGTCTCTTGATGATCGACTCGGCCGCGAACACCCTCTCCCCGACAGCCGATAGCTCCATGTTTACCTTCGTCTACCGTTAGCTTGCAGCGAAGCTAGCTGACTGTGAGCGCGAGTCCAGTCCGCCTGCTCTAGCTTCAGAATTCCATACAGCCCATAATACTCTTCGTGCACAGCCAGACGTCATCACGTTCTTTAGCATGTTGCCTTAGCACCGTTTGTAGGTGGAAACGTTTTGAGGCCGTTCATTGGCTCCGCTGTTGCTAAGTGGTCGGGACTTGCTTCTTAGTGACATACAAGACAAAAAAATAAGATAAGATCTCGTCGGCTGAGCCTGCCCTGCTGAACACATATAGGCTACGTTAAAGTTTAATCGTCAAGACAAGAATACAGGAAACCGTCATCAATGAAACGTCAACTGATGCTAGGCTACAGGATATGTAGGCTAGGCTGCATGAACTCTAATTGTGTATTTTCTGAAACAAGCATAGGCCTATAATTCATACGATTTTTAATAAATCTTTTAAAGCTATTACTAATAGGCTAATATAATATAGGCTTCACCTGTTATGATAGGAAAATGTATGGCATCTTTTATATATATATATATATTCTACTATTCACAAAACAATTTGACTAATTCCGCTAAAATCTTAATAATAATTCCGCTAAAAAGTCTTCATCCATGACAAACGTCATGTCATTGCTGGGTTATTGATCTGAATGTCATGTGTGTCCTACTGCAGAGTAATAGCCTAAATGTGTAGGCTACAAACGGAATGATTCTTACAGCCTAAAAAGCCGGTAATTAAACAGAATCTGTGATATCGCCTAAACGAAGATCTGAGGCTATTCGTTACACATTATTTGCTCAAAATCTAGCCTATTAGATTTTGTTAGCATATATTCTTGATGAAGAAAAACATGATAAAGAATGATTAGGGGAAAGCAAAGCCTATTTATGTTTATCCCGTAGCCACACGTCTGCTCAAAATTATTCGAATATTTAGATTTGGTCTCCAACTGGCTCTTTCGAAAATAATAATAGGCTAATAATAATAATAATAATAATAGGCTAATAATAATAATAATAATATATAAATAAAAATAAATAAAAAAATTGTATGATGCTTTTGTGTAAGACTTACCACACCACATTTAGCTGCCAAATGAGAATCAAAAATCAAATAATTAATAGCTCATAAGATGACAACAAGTCAACAGTAACTTCTGGTAAAGACAACTTAAACAACGAAACATTTCATAATTATTATATCTTTATTAGGCCTCTAAGAGTTAGGCTACTATATGCACTTCTAAAAGTAACCTCTGTATATAGCCTAGTTTCCCTTATAACGATTACATGGGTCAGGTTTTAACGCTATTTTTAGCTCAAACTATCTCGAAACAACAGCAATGATGTTTTAAGAAAAATAAGATTTTAATTATGTTTTTTAATTGAAAACAGATTTTAATTTTAGAGAAAAATATGTAGATAATATAATATTAGGCTAGGCCTATATATATTATATAAATTATGTAGCTATATGGCCCATAGGCCTGCATAAAATAAATATAAAAATATGTATTTTTTGTAATTGGGTGTTCCATATAGCCTATAATTCAATTAAACAATCTCACATAATTATGTTGGTTTAACGGAAAAAAAGAGAAGATGAATAGCCTATATAGGCTAGGCTATAATAAATAGCTATAAAAATATGTAGCTAGATAATATAATAGGTTATAAATTATGTAGCTTAGAGGCCTATGGGCCTGCATAAAATAAATATAAAAATATGTAGGCTACTTTGTGTAATTGGGTGTTCCATATAGCCTATAATCCAATTAAACAATCTCACATAGCTAATTATGTTGGTTTAACGGGGAAAAAGAGATGAATATAAATAGGCTAGGCTATAATAAATATTACTACCTATATTATTATATTATTATAATTGTAAGCTATGTGAAGGAAAAACAGTCATTATTTTTTTTATTACCCACACATGACCATAAAAAGGGGAACTATGTTATCGAACATTTTCCGAAAATGTTTACCGATCTGATGCTATAGCTAAATAACGTTATTAATAAATAGGCTAATTTCCTGGGTGAATTACAGACATTTTCACACTGTATTTTAAGCGTTTAAATGTATTATTTAGAAATAAAATTTGGGCAAAGATATAGGCTTATCTTAATCAATAAAGATAATATTGATTGATAACTTGGTGCCCTGTAAAATTAAGCGTTGGCTAAGCAGTGGTTCATTCGGTGAGTGAAAATTATAGGCTAGGCATATCCGCTGCAAAACAATGAACAGTTTGAACAAGATAGACCTATTTTGACGATTGTAAAATAATTTTCTCCAAAATAAAATCAAGGCTTCAGTTTTCAGGTTTTTTTTTTTTTTTTTTTTTTTTGTCTTTATATGCATAAACAGGGCTTATGGTTGATTTTTTTTTTTTTTTTTTTTTTGCGGAAGATGATTGGTGGTTTGACTACTGCAGTGCAGTTGTTATATCCGTACGCGATTTTGATCGAGCTGGAAGAATATTATTGGTTCGCTCGTTTCTGGGCAACCAACATGAGAAATTGTGCACAATTTACAAAGCAATTACCTACTACTATTTTTGCTGCAGACTGTTTAAGAAAATGTTCGATAAAGTAAAAATAAATAAAAATAAAAACATTAAAAAACAGTAGGCCTATTCGATGTAAATTGTTTTTAACAAAATCATTAACTTGATTCCCTATTCCCGTTGGATTATTTAGGATCCACTAAGACTTCTTAGATATTTAATGGGACCATAGTTATATAGGCCAATTTTGGATTTTAAATCGAGCGCTTTCATATTAGTTTACCTAAATATAGGCTATATATATATATATATAGGGTAAATTCAGGTTGATTGGGACACTTTTTCCCAGTCATCTCAATGGCAAATATATATATATATATATATTTATATAATTATATCACATATATATGTGTGTATATATATATATATACATATATATGTGATATAATTATAAAATTGATATTAACCTTGGTGGATGACGGAAAAAGTCGTGCGTTAGCTACGGTTTACAAAATAGGCTATGTGCCAAATAAAATTAATCTAAGCCTCTCCAGTAAACATGTGGGATAACCTTATATTGACAATATTAATTTTTGATTTTAAAGTAAATAAAGAAGAAGAAGAAGAAGAAGAAGAAGAAGAAGAAGAAGAAGAAGAAGAAGAAGAAGAAGAAGAAGAAGAAGAAGAAGAAAAAAGTAGTCCAACATCAGTTATAACTTATTCTGCTGATTATTTTATGTTTACAAGCTTCCTAAAGACGACTTGTAACCTATTAGATTAGATCATAGGTTAGCCTATTATTTTAAAAAAGTGATTAACATAGGTAGGCTATTTTAAGCCAATCTTTCAATGACCACAAGCAGTTAAAGGATCCATACCACAGCTTAGAACGCTTCTTTTCTCATGATCAAATCACTTTATTTTAATAAAGCGATCTGTGGCAATTTCAACCACAGCTTTCAGAACGTTTATGTGTCCCCTCTCATTATCCAACGCTTTATTTTACGGATCTGTGCCCATAAATAGCCTAATGTTTAACTCAAATAAATTGTATTACTTTATTATTTCAAAAGAATATGCTCAAAGCATATTTTAAATAACCCTGCGAAATTAACAATCGACTAAATGCGCTGCTGTAAAGCTGAATTCATAAGCTGATCGCAAATAAGTGGATGGACAAGGAAGCCATTTTATAACCGCAGCGAAAGCAGCTTTATCTCAGACGGTGCAGCATGAGGAAATGGTTGATTCCGTTTCATTGCTTTTCCGAAGCCCATCTTTGACATAAATTTCACGGTTAACCAACCCCTGCCTAATTTTTGGATGGACAAATAGCCTACTAAGCAGTCTTGCCGTGTGAAAGAGACGTTTGCTGTCCGCCATGTTAGCGCTGACAAAAAAAAATGAGTCTGGTTTTAGTAGCCTACTACATCAGGCTGTTCAAAGCTGAACAGCTGATCCATGATAGTAGCAAGCGAAAGCTAAATCCTATCATAATTAATATTCTAATATTCTAGCCTACGGTGTGTTTTACCGATAAACCTTTGACGGTGCATAGGCTATTCTTGCCGGGGTTATAGGCTATGGACCGTCTTGCGCATAAAGAAAGTTGTCAAGTCTGAATGCTAGCATATTGTTCTATTTGGAGGACATAATAGTATAGAATAGCCATAGTCTATACTATTCTACCTGTAAAAGCGACATTCATTCACATTCTGGAATGCTTTATGGGGGTTACATATATGCTAAAGACTAGCTACTGCCTAAATGCCTGTTAAATGTTAATTGTTTAAATGTCAGCGCTGTTTTAGCGAACCCCCCCCCCCCCCCCCCCCCCCCCCCCTTTTTTTTTCTGAGAGCCGCGGTAGACCCATTTATTATAGGCTAATCCTTTTTGCGTCTTATCACTGTCCTCAAAATGTGTGCTGAATAGACTTACAGGAGCAAATAGGCTATTACACCTTACCGAGTTCAGGGAATTAAATTTTAAGCAACAGTGTCCGATCCGATGTTATTATTTTATTATCACTATTTTGACAACATGAGGTTCTCGCCACATGTCTTAAGTAAAATGCTGTGTAGGCTAATCATTCACTGGGCTCAACCGTAAACCTTATCTAAACAAAAATGGAAAATGCATTCGAAGGCGCGATGAAAGTTTCCCTCTTGCTTTCCCTGGTCTGCTTTTAGTGCCTGATAGCTGCAGGGAATTTCTTTTTATGGGTGTTCAGAGGCAATATCCAGCATGAAAACAGATTTCAGTTTTCTTAGATATCCCTGTTTATTTCTTGTAGCAAGTTGAAACATGACATCTCTTAAACAAAAATGAATCCAACGACAAAATTCTTGACAGCCCTATTGTTTTAAATTGGATAATTTACGATCTCGATAATATCCAAATGTAGGCTAGGGGTATAGGCGACAGTAGATAAGCTTAACGCATAATTATACACTAAAGTCATACTGTAGCCTACTTTTTTTTATGGAGAGGTTTTAAGTTAGGCTTTGACTATAACGTAGCTTCGAAATGCGAGACAAAACTGCTGCCAGCACTCCAAAAGACGTGCCTAATTTTCAGCGGATGATATATGCTCTGTTGTACTAACTGTATGCGGAATTGCCATGTTTCTTATTATTGAATCAATTAAATGTGACACTAGGCGAACCCCGTCAGCTAATAATAATAATAAAATAAAGTAAAAAAAAAAAACATGAGTTACACTTAAAACATGAGTTACTCCAAAACACATTACAGAAGTCTTAAGTGTCATTCACCTCCATCTGTGCTGTTCAAGGGTTGTGCAAAGTTCAGTCTGATATTGATATCTTATGCATTTACATAATAGTAATGATGCTTTGCTATCTCTCACATGGCCTATATGTTAGCTCGTCTCACATCAGTGCAAATGGAACTTCTCTATTCATCACACACCTTGCAGTACAAGCAAAGACTGAGATCTTACTCAAAAACATAAAATAAAACTTTTAATATGCTTAGACAAACCTTAATAACACATTTCAATTGACATTTTTTACAACAAGGACTATAAAATACAGATCAGTAGAAAACATTTCCCAGTATTACATGTGTAGTAAGTGCTCATCCTTATAGTTAAGCCTTCTGAAATAACGGCACTTCAAATAGCTTTGAGCTAATATGAAAGCTATTAACAGGAAAACCTGTTTAGTTTATTTTTTCTATCCCTAACATGGAATAGTTAAATGTGTGAATTTGAAAATCAATTCATTTTTTTGAATGCAGTCTGAAACTATCAAAACTTTACACTAGATTGTTTCAAAATAGTCAGCAAGTTTGAGGACTTGATGATTGATGATTAAACATGCTTTACATTTTTTTACAAATTCACAGTAAATAGTCAGTAGTCTTTATAGACTTTATATCCATCATATATTCCTAAACTTAACATACTCCTTGAATGTCACTGTGAGGCAGTTTGCTGTGACATCAGTGATTATTATATTCCCCAGAAAAGGTGTAAAGGTTGGAACAGATTTTTTCATTTCTATCTCTACTTGTCCTGGTGTGGACACCACTTCTTTCCCAGTTGCTATATAGTTTCCAATCTGAGAAGGTGTAGAAATGTTTCTCTCTTCTCTCGACCTTACACAGCTGAGGTCTATGGGTTCATCTTGGTTGAAGTCCAGGATTTCAAAGTCATGTCCGCCAGAGTGCTTATGGTTATTGAAGTCTGTGGTGCCATTGCAAGAGTGAGATAAGTCAGTATTTGGAGCACTTATACTCTGAGAACTTAAGAACATCTTAGCCTCCCCTCTACCACTGTCAGCCTCAGAGCAGCAACGCTTTTGAGGGAAGGTTTGGGGACCATTTTTGGTAGATTGGGTGCCTCTTTGATCATTCATCTCAAAAGGCAATGGAGTCAGACTGGTTTTGGTTGTCAGTTTCAAGGGTTGTTCATCAGATGCATGCTCTCCAGTGCTGCCAGCCTTCTTTGAGTTGTTTGGTTCAAATACTACGGAGCATGCTTTTTTAGGATTGTCCGCTCTACAAGATGATAGTCCATTGGAAATCCTCAAACAAGCAGACTCTGCTTTACTGTCCTTTTTTATCACTTTCACAAGACTTTGCTTCTTTGTGTGCTTTATCTTCTCTGTTCCACAGGACTTACAGTCCTGTGCTTGCCTTTTTTTCTCAGCATCAGCCATTCCCTTCTTAATTTTAGCGGTCTGTGTGCCATTTTCCATGTACTTGCTCATGACAATGACAATGCGCCCGTTTTTATTCTTGTTCTTCACAATCTTCAGTTTGCTGCTTATTCCATTGGCAGGTGCTGTGTCCTCCTTTGCATTGTTTGCAGTAACGTTTAAGTCATCGCTACCGTTTAGTTTAGAAAGGTTTTTCAACTCCATTGTAATATTCCTCACTTTACTGAGGCACCCAGAATCCTTTTCTTGAACCCATTTATGCTGTAGAGCTGGAGATAAATTCCATTCCTTGTCAGTCAACTCAGGAACTTTGGTCTCTCTGAACCTCTGATACAAGGAGTCATACATTTTAGGGTTTGGTTGATAGTGGTGGTGTTTCTTGCTGTTGAGCTGGTAGTAGTGCTTCTTTTTCCCATTTGTTCGTGCATTTCCCTGCTTGTCTTTTGGTTTGGGCTGGTAGGGATGGTGCTTCTTACTGTTAAGCTGGTATTGCTGGCTTTGGACCAGGTCTGAAGTTGCTTTGGGTTGGTTATCCTCATCCTGAGACACACCCTGAAGGTCTGTAAGAACACTGGATCTTCGGGCAAATGATGGAACCTTGGAAATTAGACAAGTATTGGCGTGACTTTCACATAAGTTAATTGGGTACATTGTGTTCATGACATGATTGTAAGTAGTAGGCCTATTACCTGCAGGAGAAGATGTTTTGGTTTTGGCCCTCGTTTGCGATAACCCATTAGCTGTTCTTGTCTTTCCCTGAATAGAAAAGAGTTTTAGATTATCCAAAGTCATGATAGAAAGAAACACATGACACAAATATATTTAACTTTTGATTTATTCAGACCATTGTCCCATTATGGGGCATGTCAATGACTGTTTTGTGTATTATTTAAATATGCACTTAATTTGCCCACCAGTGGCATTACTTAAATTTGATTACATAAAATAAAGAACATTCTGTGTTGCGTCAGACAGCACACACACCTTGTTTACTAATTTGGTGGACAATCCCAGTTAGAAAGAAAGGGTAAACAAAAAAGAAAACCAGAAAGATGACAAAACTCATGAATAAATTATTCTGTCCCATCAATATCAATAATACTGCAATTTGACGGGTTATTTGACAGGCTTTTCATGCTTAGGCTATATTATTTATTTGTTATCTCAAACTACGTCCATGAGCTGTAGAGAAATGGGCCATTAGCTCTTTTCCCATCAACCTTCTATAAAACAATATTGCAAAAACCTAATTAGACGACCTAGAACGATTTTATACTCAAGGGGCGCGTGCAATTACTCCAAACAGAATTCCTCGTCACGAGGGAGACCGCTAATGGTGCACGCAGATGCCAGTCAAAGGGGATGAATACCCGACAAAAATGTGTGCGGAATTTCGAGGAGGCGTGAATGCATGTGTAGCCACGAAAAACTGTCCATTTGTAATGCACAATCCAGATTTTAGAGTGTGTGTACAACTCGGCTGTAAGCTTTAAGGTTTATGGCATTTGGAGATGTCTTAAAGCGAAAACTGTCAGCCCCAGACGAAATGAATAATAGTATGAATATTGAAACAGCGGCACGTTTGTTTATGATAAATGGTTCCACAAGGATTGCAAGGCGTCTCATTTTCTGGCCAAGCCTATATGTAAACATCCTTTAATGGCTGTGCTCTGACCGTGGAATTGGTGTACCGCGCAATTAAATTCAGTCACACAATTCAGTCACATATCATGGCGCGCCTGCGCACAAGTTCTCTCTTGTGTGCTCCCCCTTCTGTCACTGAGAGAGAAAGTGAAAAAAAATGAGCACGAGCGCAGCGGTAGTGAAAGCATCTTCCCTCCTTTTCCCCTTTCGGCTGTGCAAGGTCAGAGCGCCAAGCCAAGGCTGCATCTATGTCTTACCGGTTTTGGAAAGCGACGAGAAGTCTCGGGTCCAGAATATTTTCCTCTGGCTCCCACGTGTTATATCTATAGAGAGAAGAAAGGAGGTGGAGAGCGAGGGAAGAGGGGGAGAGCAGAGAAGCATGAATATCACCAGCTCTCTCAACCGAACTAGTAGGCTATCTAACGTGGTGGCTGTCATCTGAACGACTAACTAGCAGGAGGCACTAACAAGGTCCTGTTGAACGATCCGATTAAAAAATATTAAGAAAAAAATACTGTTAACTGTTTGGTAGGCTACTGTTAACATCGTTTTAAAATATACGATCACTTTGCATTAAAAGAACCCCATTTAGCATTAAGCTTAAATACGAAACGATATTATTTACCATAAAATACATTATTATTAAAATACCCACATCTCCCCCCGCCCCTCTCTCTCTTACACACACACACACACACACACACACACACTGAAATAGCACAGCAAGCAAGTGACATCTTGAAGGGAAACTTACTTGGGAGACCAGCCTCTCCACTTGACTAGGTACTCAAACCTTCCCTGCAAATATCACAAAAACACAAGCAATTAGAAATTGCTGTAAAATAAATATTACTATTATTCCGAGTTTCAGAAACAAACCCATACGCTTGTGTTCTCGCTTTTAAAATACAAACATTACTTGAAAGTTTAATAGGCTACGCTTACAACGTGAACAATGTATGTGTTAAGAGAAAACCGCAGACCTTTCTAATGCGTTTCTTTTCGATGCTTTCCACCGCGAAGACGTGGTCACCCGCGGCGGGCAGCTCCATTTTCAGCGCTCGCTGTAATACTTCTCAGTGCCCGCGCAATCGCTTCTCAAGTGAGACTCAGTTTTAACTCAAATGAGCTGTACAACGTTCTTCATGCAAATAGCTATAGGATTGACGTCACAATCAGGATGGGCGGTGTAGAGGCTGGTCAGCCCTGTGCCGCGGGTTTACCGAACGAATGAAGAGTCGTTATAGCAGCCCTTCAGGTCCGGGGCGAGAATTCTTCCTTCGTGACGCAAAGTAGGGAACAATCGTGGCAATTAAACCATTTTTTAAATCAAGTTTGATACTTCGTCATTTGTCATTTAGCAGTTTCGGGTGTCTGACAGACTAAATCATTATCAGCATCAGAAATGTTTTTTTAATGTGTGATATTTACCCTCCATTCTAAGTTTATATCAGTGCAGGGACAACTTTGAAGGAGATAATATTATAAACGAATAGCTGCTCTCGATGATGGCCTAAAGTGAAGAGTTAAGCTAGCCTATGAACAAATGCTTGTTTGGTTATGTTGAACAAACACCCAAAAATCACCCATGTTACACTAAAACCTATAGCCTACATTGACACCATGACCATAAATTAGATTATAATATTATCATCTTTTGGTGTCCACGACTTGGCTTGACCAGGACGAAGACTTGACTAAATTTCATTTGGATATTAGGCTAAATTTGGTGCATTTTAAGTTTAAAACGTGATATTCTGTCTAGGTAGATATAGCGTAGGCTAGACTACTCATACTCATCCTAAACAAGCTATTTTATGTTCCGAGATCTGTCTTCGTTTGGGAAAATTGCATTAAGATAGGATACAAATTATTTCGTTGTTTTGATACAAGTTGCCTACATTAGACTTTAATCAACAAAAAGTAGTTGTTTAGACTCATTCAGCGCACGTTAGAGTTTACTGCAAATATAGGCTACAATATGTAGGTCACTGTGGTCTTCAAAGCCTCTAGCACTCAACTAGCTGATAGGCATTTTTCATCTGACATCTGCCTTCTGACGGCCAACGGCTGCTGTAGGACCTGTGAAAAAAAAAACTGCAGTGGCAAACGAACGTGTGAAAACCCTGGGCAATGCCTACTCATTCACTGCATTCACTGTATGTGCCACAAAGGCTGTGCGTACAATCTTAAGAGTGGGAAAGAAATCTCTCTCTCTCTCTCTCTCTCTCTCTCTCTCTCTCTCTCTCTCTCTCTCTCTCTCTCTCTCTCTCTCTCTCTCTCTCTCTCTCTCTCTCTCTCTCTCTCTCTCTCTCTCTCTCTCTCTCTCTCACACACACACACACACACACACACACACACACACACACACACACACACACACACACACACACACACACACACACACACACACACACACACACACACACACACACACACGACATACTCACTTAATAATGTGCACCCATACTTAACATATGCACTGATACACTTGCACACATAGACTTAATAAAATGCACAATCATACAAACATAATAATGTGACTTTGCGGCCACAAAACGGTACAAATCTTCAGAAAAATTCAGCATGATAAGGGTTAACTGCAGGCGGCAATTCTCAGCCTATTGCAGAGAGGCACGACTGCCTTTCCTTATAAGGCAATGACTGCTGAACAGCAGCGAAAATACTTGAATATATGCTATTAAATTAAACATTAGTAGCCCATGTATTCACTGACATTATGCAGTTAAAATGTACTTCTCAGAGATAAAAAGTTTATCTTCTATTGAATCTTGTGCAGAACGACGAATTGTAGCATTGCAAACATAGTTTAATCGCACGAACCCATCTGTGTCATTTTACCGGAGATTATGTAGTGTAAAATAAAGTTTAACCAATGCAATAGCTAATTTTAGCAATAGACATTCTTAAAATAGCCTACTTGTTTCATTAAAGAACAATATTTTAACATTTTAAACCTGCTGATCTCTGGTGCTCAAATGTGAGATGTTCGTGTTACTAGGCTAATTTAAATCATGTTAAATAAGAGTTGGGTCAAGTGTTTCTCATACTGTGCCTCAAGTACTAACATAGTTTAGGATGGGCTGCACTTAGCAAAATAAAATCCAAGTGCTGTAGGCTAAGTAACATCACCGCAAACCAAGAAGAACACAACTGTGGCTTCAGATTAAATTTCATAACAACTGACACATTCTCTCTCTTCTGACTAGGCTATACTGTATACAAAAAAATACTGTTAATAATCTGGAAAAACTACGTAAGAATCTGTTCAACTACTGAGAGGAGAAAGGATCGTTATACTCAAGAGAATTAGGCTACCTCTCTGATTATCCTTCAATGCCGGTGCGCATGAAACTTTGAATGCAACGACATATTTCGTTCTATCCTGTTCCCTGTCAGCGCACTGTTTAGATGTATGTCACGCTTAAAATGAGAACATTAAACATTGTTTAAAGACTTTGCAAAAAGAATAAGAACCTCTCTGGGTTCAATGATTTGATCAAAGGGATGTTTTCAAGAATTCATTGTCAGATCTTAAATCCTTGACAAAGTTTCTGCTGCCTTCGAATGTATAACGTTGAATATGCGAAACCTACTTGTCGCAGTTACTGAAAAAGGTTGTAATTAAGGTAACACTAAGTAGGCACATAGAGCCTGGCAGTTTTGAACTCGAGTTTGGGTGGTTGTTCTGTGGTTTTATGAAATGCATAACTGGACACCGCGCAGTCTTCGTCATCAACTCTTAGTCATTAAAATATCATGCAAACTCTTTAAAGAAATTGCCGGTGTTTGGCCAATTGAAACATGTTAATAAAGTCATCATCGTATTTAAAAGCCAATTTAAAATTTCCGTCGTATGTTCTCGAAAATGTTCTCTGGCACCCAGGGGTGCAATTTCGTTTGCGGGTAAAGCTGAGCTTCGGGTGCATCCATCGTTGTCTCCTTATGGTGGTTTTGGAACCAGAGTTGATGCTCTTGCAGCCTCATCTAACATCAAATCATGCTAGGACTTTTTCATGATTTTTTTTTTAACATACTGCCCTGCTGAGAAAATATTCTAGACAACGCAAAAAGACCCATAATTGGGGGACATGTTTAGCAGTTTGTCCTGCATTTTCCTGTTTCCTGTTTTTATTAAAAAACAATTATTTACTGATATCTCATGACAATAATGCCTAGGTGGTTTGAACTAAATTACACAATCCATTTCACCCCATTTCACCCAGTCTTACTGTCACTCAGAATTCATTGACCATTACAATTCTATGTTATGGGTGTCAGGTAATTTCTCTTCTCAGAACAGTTGTCAGGGGGACTATACCTGCTTAGCTATAGGCCTACCTATTTTCAACACCCAGTAATATTCAGCATGTTTCATTAAGCTATAGGGGAAACAAGATGAGATTTTGCAGTTGTTTGCTCCTTAAGAACAGTACAACCAACAAAAATATCTTTAAAAAATAAATAAAAGTAGAGCATCTCATAAACAGCCTCCATCAGACTTAGTTTGAAATTATTTCTTTGGTTGTAACTCATCCGTCAACACTAATTATATTACACCTCAGTGACTATAAAGTTCAGCATTGAGCGGAGTATGTGCATTGAACTTGAACACAGGGGCGTCACTAGGCCCTTTTTAGGGGGGGCTTCAGTCTATGGACTCGACGCGTACGGTCAAGTGCGAGATAAGATGTAAGTAGCTAAACTTAACATTTCATATTTTACTTTTTTTAGGTCATAAATGTTAAACGAATGACAAAAAATAATCAGGCAAACTAATATAGTTTTGTCTAATTTCGCCATTTTGAACTGAAAATAGGCCTATACACTCATGTAACTCATGTAATGTAATAATTAGTTTACAAGAAACATTAACAAAGCCGTTTTCATCACGTTAGGCACAAGATTAATAATGAATGTGTACATATTGAGAATATAATACAAATTGTAGCCTTTAGTAAATTAAAAAAGCTCAGCTTTAGGAGGGGAAGAGAAAGGGAGGAAGAGACTGAGAAAATGAAAAATGAAAAGCCTATATCAGTCAAAGCTCAGCTTTAGGAGGGGAAGAGACAGGGCAAGAGAAAAACAAAGAGAAAAAAAGTGATGCTGCTGATGAGGAGAGAAAAATTGTCAGCTGCCCACTATCCAAGTTTTTTGGCCTTCAGAACATCTTAAAATGCACATATGTAGATCAGAGAAATCAAAATTTTCTCGGGGAGACCCCGAACCCCCCTAATTGCCCTGCCTCACATTTGGGACCACAGTTATTATAAAACCGTGCCTTTGCATCGTAATGAAAATGGTTAATAGTGATCTTTAGATCCTAAACTAAAGTGTTACCTTTTTTTATAATTTGTTTAAAAATCATATTGGGGGCTTAGCCCCCCTAAAATGAAAATCCTAGTGACGCCCCTGCTTGAACAGATTCATTCAGCTTGGATGACTAATATCTGTCACAACAGTGCAAATGGAATGTTGATGACTTTAATGAAATTAAACTAAAGATAGAGGTGGGGTAGTGGATGAAAGAATTACAACAGAATGCGTAACTGATAGATGAACCTCTAAAACAGTTGTTTGGAACTCATTTGGCTTGCTTACAGATATACTTTTTTGGGGTAAAAAATGCATAGTACTTTGGTTTAACAATCAGCCATGCAGGTTGAACACAATCAAAGCTGTGGGAAAATGACAGTTTAGAATATTTTTAGAATTCATTTGATATCACCATCAGTCTGTCTACCAATGTTTAATTCATGAATAATCATTTAACACCTATCACACCTATCTATTTAAAAAAATCCAACATGAGTCATATATCATTATCTCTCTCTCAGCTAATATTAAACAAATGAAAACTTTGTTGTACAGGACCTACATGTGTTTTAGAAGTGTTTGTGCCTTTTATATAGAGTAGATAAAGCTTATATAAATAGAGTCAACAACAAATTTCAGTTAATATCCAGGAAGACTGGAGCTATAGTACAGTGGGCATCTGGGAAGCATAACCCTAACCTTCAGGTCATTTACATAATGTTGTGTTGCAAGTTTCATTAAAAATTTTCAACAAATTTTGGGAAGGGCCTTTGCTAGGTTTCTGGGCCCCTTGTACTGTGTATTGCTTTGGGGCCCCCTCAGCTAATATCCCTGCCCTCG